CGAACCCTGAAAGAAGCAAATATTTGTGTGATGAACATGTAATGAAGTAAATAATAAAGTATGTATGTACTTAAGTCAGTGCCGTCTTTGAGCTATTGGAGGCCCTGGGCATATTAGAATAATGGGGCCCCTATGACCCCCGTTTTGGGATTTAACAGGAACTAGGGACTTTGTATTTGATCTGAGGGGGCCCCCTATCGATCGCGGGGCCCTGGGCACAATAGATAATAGCCAATCAAACGACGCGAGATAAAACAATCGAATCAATCAGCGCGCGCACCCGAAAGCAACGACGCAATCAGAACCAAGTTTTGGTCAGGTCATGAGCATTCGCTCACACATAACCCTGGCGCGGAGGGGGAAGCCCTCCAATTAGACTGTTCTATGGTTCTAACCTCATTCTGTGTTCTGCATAGAGGTATAAGAATAAAGTGGGGAAGGCGGCTCTTAAAGTGTCCTTCTAGTACAAAGAGAAAGAAGATGAGAGACGGCTAGCCTTTCTCTATCTAATCGCGAATGCGCATGCGCACATGAAAAACCTACGGATGAATACCGACCAATCACACGACTGCGCAGCGTCACAAGAGAGAGAAATAGCTAGCCGTCTCTCATCTTCTTTCTCTTTCTACTAGACGGACACTTCCACTTGTAGTACAGTACATATCTCCCCTACTCTATTCTTATACCTCTATGGTGTTCTGTGGTTCCGGCAAAGTGCCTACCTATAAATACGATGTCACGCGGCCGGCCATACACCGATCGCACGCAGGTTAAAAGAGGTGGCAGGACTGGGACTGGGGTGGTGTTTTCCCAAATAACTACCTATGTAACTATTTATTAATAGACGTCTATGTCGGTAAATAAGGATCGAAGTAAAATATAAAATAAGTTTTAGTTTTGTAATATAGTAGATAGTTATAATTTTTTCTCTAAAACTGTCATTCATCAAAAAGATTATGATTCAATCTAAGTTGTTGATAGCACAACCTGCGATGTTTTTACCCTCCGATAGGGCACAGTGGAAAACATAGGTTTCGCATGTATAAGGATTAAGCAAAACCTTCAAAAAAATTGTAGCCAGAAGGATAAATTTGTACCTGTTGTAAGTTCAACCACGGTAATATTATCTATAATACCGTTACCGTTTTTTTTATTAAATATTACCTAAAAATAACATGTTTTTTATTGAACACTTCCTAATTCATTCACAACAATTTTTTTTACATATAAAATAGAATATTTACAATCACAAAACTAGAAAGAAACTCAATAAAGTAGATGAAATTAAATTAATACTGTAGGCGCCCGCCTACTAGCCTACTAGCCCTATCGCGTGTTCACCCCACTCGGCCGTAGGCAGTTATTTCAAGGACAGGGCCGAGTCACAATACTGTATAAATAATATTACCGTGGTTGAACGCTACGATTCACCGAATGTGGGCTCTCAGATGAAACGCCTCTATTTTCATATTACTGTATCTGACCAATTTAAATAATTTTGATGAATTCTAAGATAGTTAATTAAAATTATTTCCAGAATAAACTAAACTAAAAAGTACTGCATGGATTTACTTCAAATTTGTCACGAATATTATTAAGAAGTCGGGTCAACATAATAGGCTACATTATTATCACGCTATCACCTACGGAGATCGAGCAGTGAATCCTTTTGGGGTCAAAAAATATGTACAAAAAACTAACTCCACCCGTACGAAGTCGCGTGCGACCGCTAGTTAATAAATAAATACATTATTTTACTAGCGGCTGTCCGCGACTTGCTACGCGTGCCAAATTTGAAGTAAATCAATGCAGTACTTTTTGAGTTTATCCCGGACATACATACAGACAAACAAACAAAAATTCTAAAAACTATATTTTTGGCTTCGGTATCGATCGTAGATCACACTCGAAGTAAGTATTCTTTTAAAAATATATTCAATGCACAGTTTTGACTTTCCTACCATTTTTATAAATAGTAAAAAGGTAATTAATAATTACTAGGTAAATTGGTACTTACTACATACTTTATTTTTGATTTTACTCAATGAAACATATTAACGGTATGTATTTGTCTATAAGTTAACTCTTTATGTAGGTATACTAAATCCTTCTAAAAATTTATACTATGTCATCGAATCGAAAAAATTTGGGATTAGTTACTGCATGGTTAACAGCAGATTGTTTACTAAGAAAGCAAAGAACTTTTTTGAAAGGCGAGAGCGTTTTTTGAATCCAGAGTGGAGCGAAGGATTCTAGAGTAGAATTGCAATGGACCCACTATGGATTTAGAGATACTGATCTGGATCTTATTGCATCATACCTGAGGGATAGGATTCAGAGGGTTGACATTAATGGTAATGAGTCTCCGGGTTCGCTGGTTAAGATGGGTGTTCCGCAGGGCTCAATCCTAGGTCCTTTCTTATTTTTAATTTATATTAATGACTTACCTTACTATGTAAGAGATAACCATGAGATAATATTGTTTGCGGATGATACATCACTTTTATTTAAACTCAAACGCAAGGAAAAAGTTATTGACGACGTGAACAATTGTATCTCTAAGGTAGTCCACTGGTTCAATGTTAACAATTTATTACTTAATGAAGGAAAAACGAAATGTATGAGATTTGTATTACCTAATGTAAAACAGGTAAAAACCAGTGTGAATGTAAAGGATAGGAATGTGGACCTTGTAGACACCACAGTATTCTTAGGGATAACTTTAGATTCTAAGCTTCAATGGGGCCCACAAATTGATAAATTGTCAAATAGACTTAGCTCTGCAGCATATGCCGTAATAAAGATACGCCAGTTAACGGATGTAGATACGGCCAGATTAGTGTACTTTAGTTATTTCCATAGTGTAATGTCGTACGGAATTTTATGGTGCGGAAACTTTTTTTTGTGCTGCAGAAGAGAGCGATTCGATCAATTTATAATCTTAAAGTTAAAGAATCATTAAGAGATAAGTTTAAAGAATTTGGAATAATGACGGTCGCATCACAATACATATACGAAAATTTATTACTTGTAAGAAAAAATATTAATTTGTTTCTTAAAAACAGTGATGTTCACACAATTAATACAAGAAACAAAAATAAACTAACTTTACCTGCTACTAGGCTTCACAAAATTAATAATTCATTTAAAGGTCTTTGTGTTCGCTTATACAATAAAGTCCCAAGCAATATCCAAGAGTTAGCCATAAATAAATTTAAAGATATTATAAAAAAGCACTTATTAAAAAAGCTTATTACAAAGTGTCTGATTATATTACAGACAAAAATGCTTGGGTTTGAACTGTTCCAATCATTCCAACAGGTTTTCCATATTAAATAAATCATAATTGTATTGACGTTGTAACAACATAATGATTTGTGATTGTTGTTACATTTGACTTTTAATGTTGTGGAGTTTTTTTCGCTCGTTTTTCTCCGCAGCTAAAAAATATGTCCATAACGAGTGGTAGGGAAAAAAAATTTTGGACGATTCAAAAGAGTTGTACTGTACATCCAATTTGAATAAAGATATATTCTTGAATGCTCGGGGCATTGCGAGATAGGAGGACAAACATTATTTTTCACATCTGTGAGGAAAGAGCTAGTTTTTTTTTCTGTCTACAGGAATCAAAATAGCCCTAGGAAGTAAATTGATTCGATTTACGAATGAGGATATTGTAGGTAGTTCCAATCAATAACGAACATATTATGAAGAGTCCCAGGCTGTGGGAATAAAAACTTACCGCAAATATTTAAAAAAACGAATACATTCCGCCTTCGTTCATAATTTGTTTACTCAAATTTGGATTCTATAAAAAATATTGTCTCTTCCTCAAGTAGTGAGAATAAAAGTCCCTACTTACATACTGTAATAACTCTAGAGAACATTGTATCGGCCGCTAAACATGTTCATAGAAGATGATAAAAAGGAGAGTGTCCACCTTGAGGGTCGATACAATCCACGCTCTCGCTTTTGCAACAGTTCTTTGCTCCCTTCGTAAACAATATACTAATGCATTCGCCTTTCCCCGACGCAATGTATTCCAAACATTATCGATTGTGTAGTGCACGGAAAACACTAGCCACCAGCGCAGCAGTGGGACATAATCGCCCCTACCATAGATATAAAAACTCGAATTGTATAAAAATATATTTTTTTACATTGATATAAAGATCTTTTAAACTTAAGTACCTACTTACATGCCAGATAATCCAAATATAGTGCTATAATAGTTGGTAGGTATGAAACTTTCTCAGAAACTGATACTAAAATCACAAAACATTTTTTTTAATGCTTATTTAACGTACCTAATTAATTTATTTTTACGGATTTTATTTAATATAATTATTTATATCAGTGCAAATGATTGATTTTGTTTTTTTCTACTCTACATACATAGGTATTCTAGGTACAACAGGTTTATATTATATAACAAAAGTTATAATAACATGTTATATTATAGTCTGGACGTACCTTTATGAGTATAAAATCACAAATTACTAAATGTTCTAAACACTAGGGAGAGTTCTCTTTTTACTTCATTTAAATTTATTATTGAATATCACTCTTTTTCAGTCAAAGAACGCAAGCTAAAGGAAACCACCACTTTCTTTGTATTTACGAGACAATGACAACGTAGAAGGGGAAACGTGCTAGTTAATGGATATCATCTTGCCGATTCAAAAACCAACAAGTAGTAGTGGTAACGTAGATTGCTATATTACCAAGGTCGTAATGAATAGAGGTACACATGGGTATACACAGATCATCATGTTAGCAGAGTTTTTACTCATTAATGGAATTATCAGTATTGTTAATTGAGTAGAATTGAATTATACAGCATTTTATACCTTTCAAAACCGTTCAGTTAATTCAGAATTTAAGTCAAATGCATTTTTGTTCACAACAGTGAAACCGAAACCGAATTAAGTAGCGTATAACAATTTATGTACCTATTCATAAGTTAGTAGTTAGTTCATGCATTTTGTCTACTATGATGATGAGATGTAATGGGAATGTGAACATAACGAAAAAACTAGGTCATCTTTCATTTAACTTAATAAAGTTTCTTACAAAAACTTGAAACAATTTTTCGAGAATGATATTGTTATGGGTTCATTATTATTACACAATACGCCTGTTTATATTCAGTATTCCACGTCCGCTCTTTTCAACGGCTTCGAACAAAATGAACGCAATGAGTTCGTAACAAATATTCTGTCTCTTTCTCTAGTCTCAACGCACGTTCACCCAGCGGGTCAATTATGCTTTAGTGATATAATCCTATTATGATGTCAATGTGATGTTGATGCCAAGTTGACATTGTTTTTAAATGGTATTATGAAAAATTCCTATGTCACATCAAGATCATATCATAACATATCCTGTATCACTTTTTTGACGTTTATGCGATACTGTTTTAAGTCAAAAAGTTGAACGTAATACGCATTTAAGTTGATATCATATCAGAGCATAATACGTAATGTGAAATTGACATCAAAACAATATCACAATTGGCGAGCATAATTGGCCTGCTGCAGGGCTGTCGTCAACCGTGGCGAGTAGGAATAGGACGGCATCATTTCTTCCCCTTCGCACTCATGTAGCGCTACAAACTCGAACCCACGTCGATCCACCGCGCACGGCGCGGCAGGGCCGATTTTCGCCATTTTGTAGTGATACGTCAACCAGTGCACGGCTAGAGTGAAAAAAGTGTATTGTGATCATAATTATGATGTGTTTAACAAAATTGAATTCATAGTGTTACAATTGACTGATATGATAACTTCTTTTTATATTTCGCAACGCAAACAGGTTTAAAGGTAAATAGAATAATGTGATTTCCTTATTACTATCGTGCGCTCCGTGGCATTCTAACGTGTGCTGCGCTGCGCTGTGCAGATCGTGGTATTATTATCTTCGAATGCGTCTGTTGTAATGTTATAGGCTGATTAATCGAAAGGTGACCGCCTTGTGAGCGAGGATATATTAAAATTAAAAATCTCCAAAAAATGCATGTAGATATCTAGGTACTGAAAAACTTTCATATTTGTTTCTTAACACCAATGCCGTGCGCTCACTTTAGTGGTCAGAATTTCTCTGTCGACTTGACAGTTCACCTCATAGCCTGTTTCAGTGTTGCCATATAAGTACTTGCCATAAACTTTAAAGACTATTTTTCTTTATTATTATCGTATATTTCAAACTATTTTTAAAATTTCAGGTTCTTTAGGTATCTGTTTGAAGATATAATGTTAATTTAAATAATATAATGATGACCATTTTTAAGTAAATATCTAAAACACTAAGTAGGTATATATATAAAACACTAAGTAGGTACTTACAGTTTTTTACGAAAACAAGATAGCTATAAAAACTGGTCAAGTGCGAGTCGTACTCGCGAACGAAGGGTACCGTATTATTATCTACTTATACATTAGACACTAAAATATTATATCGAGCAAAAAACGTAAAACATGACGTCTGTGGTATGGAACCTACCATTTTATTTTATTATTTATTTTCGAAGAGCACGCACCGCATATTCTGTGAATTTTTCTAACATCTGCACGTTACCGTTGCCGTGAATTATTTAGAACAAAACCTTTAAAAAAACTTGTTTATTATACGGGTGCTCCCCGTAAATATTGATTTAATAAAAACATTCTGTTTTTAGTATTTTTGTAATAGCGGTAACTCAAATACAACAGCCGTGAAAATGCTTAGACTTAAAGAGGTGTCTTAATTACCCTTTGGGTACGGAACCCTAAAAACTGAAAAAAACTTATTTTTATATATAGATATTTTAAAATATATTTTGTGTCACAAACATACGTTCCTATTTCCAATTACCATTTAAAAGGTCTACCTTTTAATAAAACCTGTGTCCTATGTCTAACAGACAGACAGCAGAGACATATTAATATTTATGACGCTTTGGAATCCGTACTCTATAAATAAAGCCCAAAAATTTTAGTGTACGTGTACATATCCAAGTATATACTCTTTCATTTTATATTTTGAAAAATTAAAAAATATGTTTTTATAAGATAATTTATTCGATTTAAATATGACTTATATTATTTATAAACTACTACATACTACGTACCTACCTAGGTAACTAACTAAAATAAATTTTGTAGAGTCGATTTCATAAATGAATTTAAAGATTTTCTCTACTTTTACTTACTGTCCCACCAACCATATTTACATTTTCGCATAGGACATTCTCGGAACGGTTTCTTAGAAACCCACATCTTTACTTACAAACTTTTATTTAAAACTAGCGGCCGCCCGCGACTACGTCCGCGTAAACTTTTAGTTTTTTTTTTCTAAAATAAAAGTATCCTAAGTTACTCCTTATTACATCAGCTACCTGCCAGTAAAAGTCCCTTTAAAATCGGTCCAGCCATTTCAGAGATTAGCCGGAACAAACAGACAGAGAGACAAAAATTGTAAAAATGTTTTGTTGTAATGCTCAGCCTTAATTGAAATTGTGTATCTAAGACTTTAAGACGACCTCCGTGGCCGAGTGGTTTGTACGCCGGGTTTCATGGTGTCGCCGACTCGAGAGGTCCTGGGTTCGAATCCCGGTGGGGGCAGATGTTTGTGTGATGAATACGAGCATTTGTACTCCAGTCATGGATGTTTAATATGTATTTCTATATAAATATACTTATATATGTACAATATATGTATTCTATCCGTTACCCTAGCATCCCATAACACAAGCCTTATAGTGCTTACTTTGGGGCTAGGCTTAATTGGTGTGAGTGTTGGAAATATTTATTATGTTTATTATGTACTTACAAACTTTTATTTAAAACTAGCGGCCGCCCGCGACTACGTCCGCGTAAACTTTTAGTTTTTTTTTTCTAAAATAAAAGTATCCTAAGTTACTCCTTATTACATCAGCTACCTGCCAGTAAAAGTCCCTTTAAAATCGGTCCAGCCATTTCAGAGATTAGCCGGAACAAACAGACAGAGAGACAAAAATTGTAAAAATGTTTTGTTGTAAGTACCGTAGGATATTATACCTATATTGATATCCATGAAGTAAAAAGCGGTTATTTCAATATGACAAACAAACACTCTCATTTTATTTATATGCATAGATGTCAGCCGATGATCTAACACTAAATAGTTAAGTAGGTTAAGGTAATTTGGATTTATTTCTTTTGTTTTACATTCTAAAGTTAGGACAAAGAGTGGTTATAATCTTGGTGTTCCGTATCTGTTTATCATTATTCAACTTTCTTCTTCCGTTAGATGTGTAATAGTTTAAGAACTCAGGTGTATCATATATTTCTTATCATAAAAAAGGCAGCGGAGTGCCAAGGTCACTCAAAGCGACCGCTCTGTTTTTGATCACCGCTTGATCGTTTCTGTATAAGTACATAATACCTATGTGTAAGTATTTATCCCTATTCAATCTAAATTTATCCTAGAATACCGCGGCTTATATTTAAAACGTCAAAATCCGTTATTATCTTTCAAGAAAAATCTTTGTCACTTATCTTCCTCAGAATTGTATACAACATGTGATTAAGATATGGCAATTACGAATTATGGAACGGAAAGAGCATTTCAACTACAGACAATACACGTCATAATCGCACGACAATCGGCAAGTGAGTTTTGTTTTGTAAGGCGTGGCGTGCACTACGCGCTGCTCACACAGTCCAAAAAAGCGCTGATAACCGCTACAATTATTTTATGAAAAATATTATGTATATTCTATAGAGAGTATAAGGACAAACTGATGATGATATTCTATTTTGGTACTTGAAAACGCCGCGCGATAAATTGGGTTAGTAGTATATACTAAACAAAAGCTTTTGCTCAGGGGATCTTAAATGTACCATTTTAGGTAAAATGTGAAATGATTAGTATAATAATTATTTAAGAAAATAGATGAAAATTTACCTGGCCGCCATTCCTTAGATTATCTCCGACTCTACTGCGGCTTAATTTTATTAAACATATGGAATGTAGCTCTTTGTTTGCAGATTACAGGAAAGCCCATAAGAAGTTTTATAGTGAGAATGGAACCCTTTCCAGCGAGTTGAACTCGCACGTAAACGGTTTTTAATTTGAAATCCCCGTATTATTGTGTAATTTTTATAAGTGTATGCAAGAAATCTAATCTTTAAATCGAATATTTACTGATTAAATATTGTTATAAAGGTTAAAAAAAACTCCCTGGTGAGTATACTATAAAGAATACTGAAGTGAAATTTATTTTTTAATTCTACCTTATTGAAGTATTTATTGTCTTAATATTAGAATATATATTACTTAATATCACAACATGTGTTAACTGTTAATCTGATAAAGTATTATTAAATGTCAACATTATAATAATCTGTAGGAAGGAGATAATATAATAGCTCGCTTTTGCGCTAGATTTAGCACGTTTATAGCGCCGCCTTTGCGTGGCTAAACAACCTAGATAATCATATTTTTATGTATTGTAGGTCGGGTACATTTAGGTATATAAAATAGATATTGTAGTGTAGATCTTCTTATAACATTTTTGAGTAAAAAATAGAAGGGTTACTATTTCTGTCGCTTCACAAATAATAAGCCTTCAATTTTTTTTTCGATTAAATTTTATGAAAAACTTGCTGTCCCAGCTCCAGCGAACTTCATACCGCCATAAAAATGGGGGTTGGTGGTAGAAGGGTGAAAATTTAGGGTTGTATGTAAATATTTTGTATGAAGTATCATAAAAAAATAAAAATAGAAAAAAATGTCCAAAAAAAATATTTAAGGGTGGACCACCACTATTACGCGGACGACACGGAGGAGTTTATTAATAGTGTAGAAAAAAGGACTGTTCTTTACTTAAAGAGTCTGAAAGAGTATTCAGACATAAGTTTGAAGAAAAAGCTATGGGAGGAAGTACCTATGCATGGAAGTCGTATCTAGATGGTTGGAACTAGATCCAGAAAATAAAAGAAAACTAAGTAATTTTCATACTTCATAGGATACTTTTTATCCCAGAAAAATGTTAGGTTCCCGAGGGATAACCAAAAAACTAAATTAAACGCGAACGAAGTCGCGGGCAGCCACTAGTATGTTAATAAATAAATAAATAAATAAAAATATGTTAGTTTTATGATTTTATTTATTAAACAAAGATTTTATACTATGTCGTATTGCTATGGTACAGAGCTCTGAGGAGAAACAAAATAAGACGTTAAGTACTGGCGGACATTTACACCACCTGTAAGATTTCTTATATATAGGTACAGTATCTTCTTTTAGTCTCTTTTGAATTTCTATAAAGAAAATCACAAATTAAAACTTTCTCGTTAATTGACATTGTATGTATGACCTTGACTCGAGCGTTGCTAAATAAAGACTGGTCGAATTGAAGAGATAAAAAAAATCGATGATCGACTGCATCGATTGTAAACGGTTTAGTTGTGTGGAAATCACGAGAACTACAAAACGCGACAAAACAGTTTAGTCGATGCAAAAGTTGTATATAGGGTGAAATTGAATGTTTCTATAAAACTTCGTGAGATTGTTGGGTTACGTGTATAGAGTATGTCTGATTTTTTTCGGATTACTTAAAATATTTTTTTTTCGTTTTTTAATTTTTTATTTGGTTATTTTTTGTCATTTCTTCCTTATGAGTAATTATTCATTTTAAACACGTCTACATAGAAGTTATAAAGCAACTTAAAATAAGCACTCCTAAAAAAACGGAAACTTAATGAATGCCTCCAGTCGAGATCAGCGCCGGCCGCCGCGCCGGCAGTCTTGAATAAAAAATTTGAAATAACATTTTGTACCTATTAGAAAGTTTCTTAATTTCATACCATTCAAAATTTATCATGAGTGCAGTGATATGTGTGATAAAAATGATGTATGTGTACAAACCACTGCGCCACTAAAGTCATCACTAAGTAATAGGCCCATTATGACATTTATTTTGTGCGCCCATAAAGTTTCGTATCGAAATTAGTTCTAAATTTGAAAAATAATTATTACGCTACCGCGGCCCTAATTATTATTTTTTATGCTGCAAGGCAGCGCCCTCTCTTCGCATTGTAGGCAACCCACAATGTCATAAGAGATAGGTTTAAAGAATTTGGCATAATGACGGCCGCATCACAATTCATTTACGAAAATTTATTACTTGTAAGAAAAAATATTAATTTGTTTCTTAAAAACTGTGATGTTCACACACTTATTATACAAGAAAAAAAAATCTAACTTTACCTGCTACTAGGCTTCACAAAATTAATAATTCGTTTAAGGGTTTTTGTGTTTGCTTATGCAATAAAGTCCCAAGCAATATCCAAGAGTTAACCATAAATAAATTCAAATATAGTATATAAAAAGCACTTATTAAAAAAGCTTATTACAAAGAAGTGTCTGATTATATTACAGACAAAAATGCTTGGGTTTGAACGGTTCCAATCATTCCAACAGGTTTTCTATATTTAATAAATCATGATTGTATTGACGCTGTAACAACATAATGATTTGTAAATGTTGTTACATTATACTTTTTATGTTGTGGAGTTTTTTTCGCTCGTTTTTCTCCGCGGCTAAAAAATATGTGTACAATAACGAGTGGTAGGGAAAAAAATATGGACGATTCAATAGAGTTGTACTATACAACCAATTTGAATAAAGATATATTGATTTCTGATTTCTGTCAAATGAATACCTTTACATACAAGTATTAAACATTTGCAAAAAGAAATAGCAATTATAGTTTTATTTTTATTTTAAGCATTTATCTGTTAGCATCTACCTGTTCCCGTTGTTATTAACATAGTGCAAAAAAAAATTGCACGTTCGGCAAATAGAATCATCAGATGGAGCGAACATGTTTGTACAACTATGCTTGACTGGACTTAGGTTACGATGCGCTATTGTTCAGTCATCAATGGGAACAACACAAACACGACATTGTGTTGACCATTCCATTTACCGAGAGCGAACAAATGTCGCAGTTCTGAGCACTTGGTGGAAACGCAGCATAACAAAAAACGTAGGTATTAACTGTTGAACATGTTAATCTGGATACACCTATAGGGCCAATTCACACCGAAGCGACAGCGACAGGGAAACGACTGACGCGCGGCGCGGCGATCACTTTCAGCGTGATATACAGTAGAACCCGATTAATACAATCACGCTTAATACGATTTCTCGCATAATACGCCATAATGCGTCAGTCCCTGCAACTTGCAACATGTTTTCATACATTTCTTAACGCTTAATACGATTCGTCATCCCGTTTAATACGCCTAAATCGCCAACACGTACCACACATTATTACCTTTTGGGGCTGCGGTCAGCGATTGACGTGACGACTGTCGAGCGCCCCTTAGCCACCCCCAGGGTTTTCCAGGATATTCTACCATTGATGACAATGTGGCACCGTACCAAATTTTATCAATTGAAGATCTTATCGAGAGTGTGAATAACTCACAAGAACAGCCCTTATTGATAATGATCAAGAAGAAGACGAGTCAACTCCAATTTTTTCACACGTCGAGGCATTATCAGCAGTTAATGATTTAAGATGCTACGAGTATGTCACTTCTTTGAATCAAAGCGACGACGCAATGCAAAAGTTAAACTATGTGAAATTTTTGTAATTGCTAATGCCTCAAAATCTTTTTTACGAACTAAAATAAGTGATTTATTTAAATACAAACGTAATAATAATACACTTAATTTTTTATAACGTTTCATTTAACATAATTCTTAAATATTGTACATTTCATTATAGTTTTCATTAATTTTGTAAGCATCATTGTTACTAACCATTATGGATGAATAATCTGAAATTAATGTTATTATTATATTATTTATTAATACCTCAATACCTACATTAGGCCGTATACAGAAAGAAAGCCGAAAGCCGATCGGCGCCGATCCGAATAATAAATAATTTGTATTTGAATTATTATCCTTAGATTAAGTCAATCTAAGTTATAATCTTTTTATAAATCTAATAACTTTATCTTTTATTAACTAAGCGCTAAAATTATTTGTTTCGTACTTACCGAATGGTGACAACAAGTCTTTCTTCTGGAAGGATTGGTTGTTTATGCCAATTGCCCCAATTTTTCATCAAACGATTTTTCACTAAATCCAAAATGTAATAAAATGTTTCTTGAATCATTCTTGTATATGTATAAAATCTTTGTTCATCAAATTTTTTTTTTTTTACAAATAAATGATGGTATTCTCCGAAACGTTTCCTTTCTCTATTTATAGGATGTATAGCTGTTTTTCGCATTTTTAAATAAACATTTTCTAACAAAACCAAATCATCGTCCGATGAGTCCGACATTTTGCTTGATCTGCTTTAATCGGCTTCCTTTATGTAGGAAGGATCGGCTTTCGGCTTTCTTTCTGTATACGGCCTTAGAAATTTCCCTATGTAATACGCTTTCCCGCTTAAGACGCGTGTTTGGTTAAGTCCTTGTGAAATCATCTTAAACGGGTTTTACTGTAGTTTTGAACTTTATGTCCAACATGACAGAGCTGTATCGCTTGAAAAGCTCGAAGATATCCCGCGCAAAGTGCTCGCTGCGTCGCTGCTATTTCAATATAAATCGGCCTTAAGTAATTCTTATTATTTTATTTCGTTCGTCCAGGTGAAAAATGGCGGAGTTAGACAAATTCAAACGTCGTATCATAAGGACGGTGGCGAGGATGACCCGCGAGGAGAAGAAGCCCGAACAAGAAATGTGGGACTTTCTCAAGGCTGAGACCAAATGTGACTGCAAACAGTTATGGTGAGTTTTGAAGCGAAAACTTCTTTAGTATCGTTGTGATTTGAGATTCGATGAAACGGAAATAGAGTATTTGACACAAGATAGGTAGGTATCCGTAATTTTATCATTTACTATAAGAGGCAGATAGCTGAACGGTAACGGTCTTGGGGTCGACAACAAATGATCGGTGGTTGTATTTATGATTAGATTTTGCCCTGGTGAGTTAAATTTTAACACAGGTGTTGTCTTCAAGTCGTACCTACCTAGTCAGAAAGCACTTTTACATGTTCACATATTTGTAGGTTTCACTTCTATCGCAAGTGAACAGCACAAATCCGGTTTTTTTAAAATTTTCTTTTCTATGAGGCCATAGAAAAGAAAATGTTACCAGAAAATCTCCACTTGGCCCAGGTATCAGACAGGATTCGAACTGGCGCCTTCCGCTAACCGGGCGGACGCCCGAAACACTACTAATCAACTATGCTACCGAGATCTTAAAATGGCCTTTGCGAATTTCTTCTAGTATTTCTTAGGCTGCAAGGCAACGCTATCTCTTAGCATTGTAGGAAACCCATAGTATAATACTACCCATAGTACCCATAGTATATACATAATGTATACCAGTTCAAAAAGTGGTTTGTTAAATCTGTTTTATCTATTGTCTCTCTTTCGCATAGGGAACGCATGCGCAGCCTCACACTTAAGAAAATGAAACGTCTCCTGATTGCCGAGGATAAGATGGATAATATCACACCTGTGGCAAGAATGTCGCTCACAGACTGGCTACTTTTTGACATGGTGCTGGTGCATGAAGACATTGACGTCATTGGCGAGGTGAGCTCAAAAGAAAGCCATAAAAAGTGATTTTATGTGTTCATAAGACGCACATACAACCTTCAGTCTATCCTTTCAGTAGTGAATGAAAAAAACAGATGGCGATTGAAAAGTCATCAGCCCACTAGACGACAAGTTAACCATCAGTCGTATCAGACAGGTCATTCATGACTACCAGCAGCGCACTGACAAGTGCTGTGTGTGCTCTACACACGACAAGCTATACCAGGTATAGATCTACCTGGGCATTTACCCCATTCTCCACGACAACGGCCAACTTTACTAGGGCCGAGGTCCTACCATATACATTGGTAACTCCTGAATCGTTGACACAGCTGATTCCGTCGATTCGCGCATATAAGTATATTTATATAGAAAAACATATTAAACATCCTTGACTGGAGTACAAATGCTCGTATTCATCACATTAACATCTGCCCCCACAGGGGTTTTGAACCTGACCCGGGTTCTCGAGTCGGCAATGATTCTAACATAGCTACCTACTATGGTAGGGACCTCATGAACAATCTAAAGGTAGTAGGCACTATAATACATTGTTTATTTCAAGACTCGAACTGAAGAAAACTATTTAAATAACACTCATGGACCCAAAAAAATCACTCTTTTAATGGTAGTTTTGTAAAAAGTGGGTTTCAACTAACAAAATGTAGGTAATAATTTTATTATTTGATTGATTAAATAATAGATAAGTACCTATAAATACCAAAAACTTAAAACTACTTATTGTCTAAAATGTACAATACATATTACTTACCGAATATATTTTTATTACAAACATTTAACTGCCAGATTTATAAATAAAAAAAATCCTCGCGATCCAGTTCCCGAAGTATTAGTACCACAATTTACACTAAGTACTTTTATCACATTTTTTACCGTGCCCAACTGTCAAAATCCACAGTAATTTGACAATTGATCGTGATTAAAACGAACTATAATATCATATCGCAGTGCTCATGTTAGGGGGGCAGGCATCTGAAAGAATTCGAACCTGCCCCTTCAGCTATCCGGGAGAACGCACTAACCAATTATGCTGCCGAAACCTTATATCGAATTTCTTCTAGTATTTCTTAGCCTGCTCTGTTCAAATCAATAGTCATTTAGGTGTAAAGCAGATAGCATGACCAGACCACCGTCGCTGGTTGCAATGAGTTCTATGGACCAATGTTAAAGTATGATTGTGAAAGCAGAAAGCGAACATTGGTAATTTTTGGGATCAAAAGAATCTTACTTTAACATGAGTTCGTAGAACAAATGTTCTCTTGCTTCAAAAATGCCCACTGGTCGTTTTCTACTTAACTACGCTGTCATAAATTGTCATACTACCTTCGCAGGATCTGAATGTTAAAAAGGACTTGCAGCCGCTCACCGACCTTCTGGCCCTCGTGCAGAAATTTCAGATCGAAGGCAAGCAGGGAGCGGCGCTCGCGCAAGCCTGGACTGCCGCAACCATGGCCTACAACAAGGAGTAAGTTTGATCTCGGGGCTATACACAGAGTATAGACTTTTATGAAATTGATTATCTTTAAGTAGACCGCTTACGGGCCATCCATTAAGTACGTCACACGTTAATAGGGAGGGAGGGGGTTGACGAAGTGTGACATTGTGTGACAAGGGGTGGGAGAGGTCCTAAGTTTCGTGACGTCACATTTCCAAATCTAATACCTACTTTTGAACTATTATCAAAAATCTTTATAATATGTAGATCTCTATCTGTATGGAGTTTTCATTAGTTCTTTGGCTAATTTTCGGAACTGCTGTATAATAATAATTTCTAAATTCAAAATAGCAAAATATGTTACGTCACACTAGAGAGAAGAAAGGCAGAGCGGTCGAGCCATGAGTATAAACAAAAAGAAAATTTAAGGTATAACTAGATGACATTTTAATATTAAAGTAGTATAGAGCAGCTTCTCATCACCGCTAGCAGCACCCGTTCCCGAGTATGACGCATGAGCTGACTACTGGTTAAAAAGGGATTATATCGTCGAAATATGACATCGGCAGACATGGTGTTAGGAGTCGTAAGTTTAACAATAGGATCCCGAGGACTCTCAAACTTTGAGAAACACTAAAGAGGTTAAAATCTCAAAGTTCAACTTTATTTATTTTTAATAAGTACTTATCTGCTTATTTTTTTACAGTGGGAGGCAATGCTCACCGATGCTGCTGCAACGACGTTGGTACCAATTAAAGAAAATATCCAGGGAGAAATTCTACAAGTTATGGTACTCGTACCGGGGCATTATTGGGCGGCTGCAGACATGCAAGGAGATCATGCCTACCAAACTGCAGAAGGAGGTCGCCGAAAGGTGAGTGGAAACAACCACAATTCCGCACTGGAATTACATTTACTCTCAATTTACATGATCCAAGGAAGTCCGTTGATAAGGATCTCGGTGGTCCATGTCTGCGATCGTGAAGGTATTGCCCGTATCGACAAACGTAGTGTAGGACGTCCTCAGGCAAGGTGGCTGGCAGGAGCTGGATGCGAGTAGCCCAAGATCGACCTCAGTGGCGTGCAATTGGAATGGCCTATGTCCAGCAGTGAACTAATGTAGGCTGTTGATTTGATGTAAAAAGTTGGCACACAAGCATACGGCCTACCTGATGGTAAGCGGCCGCCATAGCCTGTAGACGATGGCGTGTCGTTGTCTATCCTGATCCAATCCTAACCTAACCTAACTCACCGACATAAACCTAACACCTGCAAAAAATAAAGTTATTTTTTTTTGCTGTGATCTTCTGTAAGGTGGAAATTATTTTCCCAGACGGGCGCTCCAATTGTGGCAGAATATCCGCTATGTCCTATCTCTCTAAAACTTTGACAATGATCGTTCATAGATTGGGTGACTAATAATTTATTATCTCGAACTTCTTGGTGCTTCGCAAAAGTCAATAAGCTGCTGGTTCCAGCTGCATCTGCAGTCGTTAACACCCTACCATCCGCACTGGGCCAGTGGGCCCGCGTCGTCGGGCTATGTCGTGGCCTTATCTCCCCTATTCCATCAATAGGGAAGGCCTGCGCTACTACGTGACAAGCAAAAGTTAATATTAAATTAAGTATGTGAATGAATAAAAATGGGTTTTCTTAAGACATTCTACAAAACAAAAAATATTAAAAAAAAGGTTATTTTTATGCTTATTGAAATCGTTAGTAAACACAACGCGGGCATAAGCAGGTGGTTTTATTATTGTGTTAATTTGTTTATTTTTCGTTCATAATTACAGGTATCCCCATATTATAACAAAACCGTTTGTAGAATGGGACAAACTCATCGAGGAGAAATTCGTCATATTACCTGATGAAATTGTGAGTAATCAATGAATGAGCAGTTAAAAGTTATCTTATTATACCTGCTCACTTTTGTCCGAGCATACTATAACCCAGATTTACCCAAAGTTTATCCAAACTCCTTCAGATATTTTTTTCACGATTAAATAAGCTAAACTCCCCCAACATAGAAAACTTAACATTTTTATAATTATAACCTGCAATTCCGTCTGCACTGAAATAGTTTTCTATACTATGTTCATTGAAAGCAGCTAATGGAGAGTTTTTCTTTCACACAATCGCTTACAAAAGACAGAGACAGGGAGCTGTCATTGGCTAAAGTAAAGACAGAAAAGATTAGCTTGTATCGATACTAGCTCGTTTCTGTGAAAAAAGCAGGGATAAATTAAATTCTAGGTTTTGTCAAACGATTTACAGTTACATGCAACGATATCAAATACCACATGCGCTCAAAATATGTCCCAATCAAGAAGTGCTGGAACTCCAGTCAAGCACCACTTGTTTTACAGTCACGCGTGGACCGTTGAAAAGTCAAGATGCCGCAGAGCTTCGTGAAAAAATACTTATAATACGTAAAGTGTCGGTTTTTCCACAAGTTAAATTTAACGCATTTGAAGCAAAGTTTGTTCTAATACTTACTATAAACAGATTTAATAGAAAATATTTGTAATTGTCAAATGCATGGTCGGTTATGTAGCCGTTTCTTTTCCTTGCGGGCCGTACCTGCAAACAGCGCATTCAAAATTGCGCGTAGAGTCGAAGAAATAAAGTCTATATTCTTCCGCATATAGTAATAAGTTTACGAGTTTGCATTTGAAACTGTCCTAACTCTTTGACGCATGCGTTTTAATATAGACCTTATACAGTGTGCATCCGCTCCGTGGATAGTCCAACGTACCTTTTGGACAGGTTTTGGCCACGATTATGTTCGTGCTGTTGTATCTAGGGTATTTAATATCGTTGCCTACATGTCAAAAAAATTTGAAGTCTGCCGGAGACTGACTACCACCCTCTATAAAAATTTGTACAACACAAGTACAACCGTTTTATTTGTTTTAAAGTATTTTTTTATAAAGGCCATATTCATTATATCTAGTAAAATAACATTGTTTGGCTGATTAGCATTTATATCTGTTTTTCTTCCAGGAAAAAAATATCAGGACTAAAGTTCCGCAGACCTCTAATATGAATGGTAAGTACAAATTCTAGACTTTCACGTGTTCAGAAGTTTTGATGTCATCGGCTTTAATTCTCAACCCCATAGGCGCGTTTTTATCGGATGCGTTTATTTATTTATGTATAATTTATTGCGAAGAACAGCAAATGTCGGGACTCAATCCCATAAGGCATTTTCTACCAATCGACTAGTAATTGTGAGAAAAGAAAATTTTACGCTGGCGCAATACACATAATATGTAATAAATAAAAAAACTGTAAATGTAGTTCTACTTATTATTAATAATAAAATGATGTCTTCTTTCACTATAATATCTTATCTTCAATATTTAATATATTTTCCCTCCGTGTGACAAACCCATGGGACGCACTGTGTAGTCGACCTACCGATACATTATTAGAGAAATAAGTATCATGACGTTTCAGAAAGTTCACATCTGATTAGTTCAATGTCTTTATCTAATTTCGAACTTAGTATCTCCCTGTGTGTAAATAATGTTCTATGCTCACGATTTACTAATAAAGAAATTGAAAATAGATTATGTTTAATTTTATATCTGTACTTGTCGGCATTACTCACTTCATTTAGCATTCGGTACCGTACAAAAGATTTTTTATATCAAAGAAACGACAAACAAGCAGACAGGCCGTGTGGTGACGAAACGTCAATGTTGCACATAGACTTTCGCATAACTGGGAATCCGGTTCCGGTAACGCTTACTAAAACTCTGCTTATAATTTCTGATAGTAGTACATTACTATTTAAGAATTACCATAAACTAGCAACACAAGTAATGTCTTTTTTGTCTCTGAAAATAAAAAGCAGACTTTACGTGAAAACTAGAGGTGAGGGGGGGTCTTTGCATATACTATGGGTGGACTCTGAGGAGGTATAAAGAGGGTAGAAGTGCTTCTAGTCCCAGATTGTTGAAGATTAATTGTTCACTATTAAGTAAATCTACATAATAAGAATTGAATGTTTATTTTCAGATAGCGGAGATGCAGATTTAGTTTTTTTGGAACCAAATATTGAAACTATTGAATTGGATGATGCTGATTCTGATACGGAAAATATAGAGAAAGCTGAAACAGCTAATGATTGGTCTGAAAACCATTTGCCACCGAAAAAAGTATCAATTAAAATTGAACCAGAAGAAGAATTCGTAACAGTCGATAAAGAAGCTTTAGCTAAGGAAAGAGATGCGAAGTTATTTGAAAGTATTCCCAATATTGATGATGTCGATTCTAATATGGAAATTGACGATTTTGTTGATACGCCAGAAGGGGATAATAGCGTACATATTGAGGAAGAAAATGAAATCATTGAAGATCATACTGAAAAAGAGCAACCACAAAACAATATGAATGGTATGGATGAAAATAATAAAGAAGACTTATCTGGTGTGAATATAGATTCAAATCAAGACGATATTGGACTAGTCCAAGTCAAATCAGAAAGTAATGATATAGACAAAGACCACGAGTGTTTAGAAAGAGATAGTGATTTAATTTCAGAACATATAAATGAAACAACAGTGATGCCCCAAATAACTAACGTATTAGGTAACGTCAGTGTTGCAGACGATCTTGACAAAACATCTATGAAAGATAAAGCGTCAGTTCATTCAATTCCAGTGGCTGATATTTCTTTGGAAAGTTACCCTTGTGAGCCTATGGATATAAACGATGAAACCGATAGAAGCATAAATGATAAATTAAAATCTTTTTTGGCCAGTGAAAAGAAATCTCAGGATACAGAAAGTGAAGGTTTGGATTTAAAATCTTTCCATAAAGATACAGAACTATCACATAATGTAAATGATAGGAATAGCGAATCCAATCCTTATTTGACTATTCCTGTTGATTTGACGTTCGCAGATGACGGCATTGAATTGGTTGATGATGGCATAGAGCTCGATGACGAAGAAGATATCATAAAACCTATTCGTGAAAGTGATATAAAAGCGGGTAGGTTTTTTTTGTTTTTGTTGAGAACTTATTTATTTATTATTCGATGGCTTTCTGTAAAGTACTTGTCAAATTTATTTTAAGCGTTCCTACTGTTCTTAACAAATTGTACTAAGAAAGTACGTAGATATGGAAAAAATACCTTTTTTTTTTTAAATGTACCAAAGTGGTATAGGCAGAAAAGTGATGATGAACAATCAAATTCTTGCTTTTTCTCACGAAAATAATGTTATTTTTTTTTTTTCAGAAAAAGATGTTGATGGCTTTCAAGAAGAAGTTGTTGGTGACGAGAAAAATGACCACAAAGAAGAGAACGCAAAATTTGATTTGAAATTGTTGATGCAACCTCTGGTTTACACGACTAAAGTAGATCAAATGGCTGTGTTCCGAAATATTGAAATTGACAATGTCAGTGATATAAACATTATAAATTCTGCTCTTGCTGAAAGTAAACCTATAATCAAAGAAGAAAAGGAAGAGGAAGTTCATGACGACTTATTACAGGACAAATCAAAAGATAGCGAAATGGATGAGTCTGAAAATGAAGCGAGTGAATCAGATGATATCCCCACTGATATGAGAGTGAAGTTATCCAATAGCTTATTACAAAAACCTAGAAGTCGTAGTTACAATCCTATACAACTTTGCAAAAATCCTGATTTTAATACGAGACTAAAGCGGCTAACAGTCGGTTTTTTGAGTTCGACCCGCAATCGATCTTTTTTAAAAACACTTAAACCCCTAACTGTGGATGTAAGCAAAGTTTTCGAAACTAAATTAATAAACGGCACCATGTACTTAATTGACAATGTACAATCTAGTGAAGGTAAACCATCAGCTGAAGTACAAGAAGACAAAACAGAGCAAACGACATCTGTCGTACCTTCAGCAATGTCGGTTCAAAGTTTGATTGATTATTTAGTCGTTGATAACGCACCACCTGCAGAACCAGTAACTTCTAATAGAAACAATAATTTTGGACGATTAGAAGGTGACAACGGTTTTCCTGAAAGAAATAGGGTCATTAATCTTCCTGATTTAGACCACGTTCGTAAAATGAATAAACGACTATTTACTGCAGAAATATCACCGATGCGTATCCAAAATCCCAACGAGAAATGTATACCTCCAGTGCAACTTGTTTCATCGCGTTCACATGAATTCCTAGAAAAAGAGATACATCCGCAACCTAATACAGGTTTGAAACAATATCAAAATGTTAATAAACCGATGCCTAAAGTATTTAAGCAGACACGAATTCTCGATCAACCTGTTTTAACAAAACCTGGTCCCAAGAAAGCTGTTAAAACGAAAACTCCTAATTATACCACAGTAGATTGGTTAAGCAAACGTAGCACAAATACACTTCTCTACGATGATGCTTTACTTACGGTAGACACACTCAATAAAATGTTGAATGTAATGACGAACGATATCGGTGAAGAAAGTAAAAAAATGACAGCAAAATGTGAAAGGAAACTAATAATGCAACGAGAAATAGAACTTAAACGTAGATTAGAAGAATTTGAAAACAATTTGATTAAACAAACAACCGGAGATGTTGATCGATGTCCTGTTATTCAAGATATTTCCAACAGCAAGAAAATGCAAGATACTTGTTGTTGGGCGCGATATAAAATTAACTTTCCCAAAAGTAGAGGTTGGCATAAATGTCCCCGTATATGTGAGTGCTGCTGTCGCATCGAATTGATAAAATCGAAAAGAAGTCGAGTTATTGAACCAGTTAGCGAAAACGTTGCAACTTCTATAGAGAGTGTGGTACAAAAGTCACGAGAAATAACAGCTCCGTCTGTTCGTAAAAAAAAATTTAAAACAATCTCACCACTGTATAAACAAAAACAGTCAGAAATTTCTATACAATGTGATCTCGATCAATCTGCACTCTCAGGAAGTCTAACGAACAATTCACAAGAAATTACTCAATCGCCTGATAAAACTAATTTACCCTCAAATGTTATTGAAATTGATGGAACTGAAGAATCAAAATCTGTAAATGAAGGTATTACTAATATAGACTTATCGTGTAATGAAACTATCGAGGGAGGGGTCAAAAAACCTCGAATAAGTGTGCTACCAACGAGTGCTTTATTAGCACCCAAAAACGTGCAGACTTATAGAGCAGTTAAGAAACCAACGCCGAAACCTCGTATTTCTGTTCCACCTATTCTTCCATTAGCAACGCGTAAAAATTGTATGATCGTGAAAAAATTTCTTCAGCAGCCTCGATTTTTGGAGCCATTATCGTCGCATAGCCTCAAGAAACGTCAATTAAAGGAAAAAATGATATATCTAAATGCCAGACAGAAATCTAAAAATGAAACTGAAAGCCCTATATTTTTGGGCCGTAATAAAATACTATTAACGGATGTCCAACTGCCATCTAGTTTGAATTCATCAATGATTAATAAAACAATTCAGGTACAGAAGATAACTCCGTCTCTTACCGTGCCTACAGGTGTACAGATTATATTACAAGAAAATGGTCAACTTACTTATGCAGTGGATCCTGCAGCCAATGTTAGTCCCGAGGCACTGACTAATATGCCTGCAATATTAGCAGCTATACAAGAGGATCTAACTGTTAACCTTGTTGACGATGAAAATTCAAAAGGTGCGCAAGTTACCAACGGAAGTGAAAATAAAACAAATAATGCAAGCGGGTGTTTGGCAGCTATACAAGAGGATTTTAATTCAACAATACAAGTACCACAAATTAATAAAGAAATTGTGAACCTTGTTGACGATGAAAATTCTAATGATGCGCAAGTTTCCAACGAAAGTGAAAATATAACAAATATTGCAAGCGGAAGTTTGGATGAAAGCACATTAATAGTTGACAATGATATGGCTGTAGATAATATAAAAACAATAGTTAATAGTGCACGGTTACTTAGTAATACAGCAGAAAATTGTCTAGAAAACACGGATAAATCTGTATTATTTGGTCCAGATAACGTCGCAGATGCTCATACATCAATTAGTGGTCCAAAAGCAAATTTGAACAATATAGTTGCGTCAGTTAGTATTGAAAACGATAAAGAAGGTTTTGAAAATACGGTGGTCAAATACGGTAGTAATGATTTAGGGAATGATGATAAAATCCAGAGAATCTATAATTTGCAACCTACTGCAGAAATAAATGTAAGTTCTCCCTCTTTTGATGACAGTACATCCAAATCCCTTGGCCCAAATAATGAAACTAAAGATAAAATTGATATAAGCTGTTCTGCATCAACGGAAATTGATAAAGTTGGCACAGGAGAAAATGAATCGAGGGTTGAAAATTCTAAAACTACAACTAATAGAAGTACATTGTTATCTGATTTAATGGAAATGTCTGGGATATCTGCAGAAGATATGAAGTCTAGCGATAATCCTGAAGTACAAACGCCAGATATGTTCCCATCTATTCAGGAAATGGCACCTCGCTATTTACAAACGGCTGTTAATGGAACTCCCATTATCACAACATCGCCAAGCAAAAATGTAAAAGAACTAAATTCAATTACATCATTTGCTCAACTAAAATATGCATGTGAACATAATGGAAGTTTTTTCAAGTTAGATTTAGAATCTGGATTTATTACACCTATAAATGTTTGTATAAAGAAAAATCTTGACTTAGTAACTAAACCGGTAATAAATAAAGCGCTAACAAAGGATAATCCAAAATTAATAATAGATTTAACGGATGATCAAAATGATGCACCGGATAGAGAAAATGATCTTCCCGCATTCATTATATCAAAACCTACACAATCGTTGCTAAAAGATAGTTTCCATTTAGGAAACACAGCTAAACCCCTTAGAGTTTTTAAATCTGCAAACATATTAAGTAGGAAGTTTAGAAGTAAAGCCGTTTCAGCGCTCACCGATATCCCAAAGAATATAAAGATTGGAGCAGGTAAGCGAACTAGAAAGCGAAGAAGAAAACAATCATTGGAATCGATAGATTTGGATACAGATGACAGCTACGACTCAATTGATCAATATATATGGAGTGATTATGCTGATTCATCTATATCTGAAGAAGACTCATCAGATGATGAACCCTTAGCTGTAAAAGCTAAACGCATGAGAACTAATGAACAACCAAAAGAACTATCAGCTATAGTGGATAATGAGAATAGCGCAGACGGAATTATTACGCAAGAAATTGCTGGTAAAAATACGGAAACTGTCGAATCATCTGATAAAATAGCAACTATCGAATCGTCAGACAATATAGCCCATGTCGAAACGTCAAATAAAATAACCCCTGTCGAATCGTCAGATACAATATCTCCTGTCGAATCGTCAGATAAAATATCCCCTGTCAAATCGTCAGATAAAGTATTCCATAAAGAGAATAATGAAACTAGTGAAATGAATGATGATGAAGGAAAGGATGATACCGAAATGATCCCAGAAATTACTTTCCTATCGGATCACGAAGACAGTGATTCGAATGAGGACTGCATTCTCGGTTTTTAGTTTTATACGTGAACCATATCTATCAATATGTAAATTGTTTAACTTAATCGAAGTTTTCTATTGCTCAATAACTATGAAGTTAATAGATCGCGGTCTAATTTTCGGGGGTATAAGTTCTCTAATGTTATGTCAATTAAATGACGTTTGACTAAAGTCAGTTGATGCTGTACTTCTGCAAATAATAATAAAATATAACAACGCAATACAGGAAATAATGAAACATTACAACAACTAAACAATTTTTCATTGCGTTTTAAATAAAACCTAAATTTGCATTCGGTACCTAATCTTTAATGTAAGTACAGTCGTTCCAACGCGTTTTACTATATGAATACATGATTGATATTTGGATTGGAAACGTGACAGTATCCTAGAAAGGGACTGATGTAATTGTAGCATAATAATTTGTAAATATTATTCTAAGTAATTAATATGCTGTATAGGTAGATAAGTAATTGTATCTGTATTTTTGTCTGTGATATTAAAGTTCTCGTTTTCACGTAGTAAAGCGTATGTCAAACATAATACTTACGTACCTATATATTTACTGGCGGCAGGGTGGATATTAAAATATAGTTATAAGAACTGCCTACGACACAACATAATCAAAGCTGTTATTTTTAAGCAACGATATTAAATACCCTAGATACACCAACACGTACAAAATCGTGCCCGAAACCTGTCCAAAAAGGTACATTTAATGATCCACGGAACTTTGTAAGATGATCGCGTAGTCAAAATTAATATAAGGCATTATTTAAATCTAGATACCTGTCGAAAAAACGACACTTTTCGTACTATAAGTATTATTTTCGCATTTTTCGCGGAGCTCTGTGGCATCTTGACTTTGTAACGGTCCGCGCGTGACTGTGAACCAAGAAGTGCTTGAGTGGAGTTCAAGCACTTCTTGATTGGGACACACTTTGAGCGCTCGTGATGTATCTAGGGCATTTTATATCGTTGTTTTTAAGACTGAGATGTCACTATGTTCTGTTACTCTTAACGTGAAGCAGGCATTGGCGAATGCATCTTTCTCAAAATATCATTGGCCGCAGTAAAAGAAGCTAGCTAGGTATATATTTTTCAGTAGTAATTTGAATGAAAAAATATTTAGATAAAAACAAGCTCGAGAAATGCTGACATTATTATTATAATAAATCATCTTGCCGCATGGGGGACTCAAAGTAGGTAGTACGTAGTACTTAAGATTATTTTTTCATCTGGAAAAATATTAGGAAGTGGTTGGTCTAGGTACATAATATCCATACATGGTTGATTAAATACAAAAGGGTATTTGACAGTATTAAAAATAAAGTGCCAATTGCTAGTATCAGCATTTAGAATGAATATTGGCAGGAGTTTTTACTATTTTTACAGAAAAAATATTCATAATTTTACTAAATAAAAACCCACGATAAAGATAATAGTTTTCTTGTCTATTGTCACGTGACCCAAAACGCTTGAGATTGGTGGAGCCTAAAATGACGTCACACGCAAGTAAACTTTCGGTTAATGTGACATTTGATTGACTTTTTAATGACAGTCGTGTGACGATGTATGCTTTCCAATTACAGAGCATAATGCGACTCAGTGCCGCACAATGCCCAATTATGCTGATGCTTAATTGGAACGTGAATTAGTTTTCAAATGCACCAGCAGAGTGCGCTAAGTTCAGTGTTGAAAAAAAAACTATTTAATGAAACGAAAGCTTTAATAATTTTTCAACAATAAATAATATTACTAACGATAACATATAAATAAAACATTTCGATCAATGCCAACTTAAAGAAAAAACGCTTGTTAATTTTCTGTCTCTAAGTTGGTACGATTGCACGCATCACACGAAAGCATCACTTTTGAGAATGCTCAATTGTGCGAAGCGTTGCTGTAGTTGGAACACTCAACGATAACATTATGCCGCATAATGCGCTATAATGCTGTAATTGAAAAGCAACCGATATGTGAGAATATGGCGTCTCACTGGTGTGTGAACCAGTGAGACGCCATATTCTCCAGAGATACGTTTTTCGTGGCAACTTGAAAATAAAGTTTTTGTTTTGGTTTTTTACCGAAATACACAACATAATGATGAATAGCCACTTTTTATTGGTTCTATAAACATTAGTGAATAACGTGAGATCGTTTTCTAAAACTTGTCAAATACCGTATTGTGGTGTTATTTCAATAAAATTGTGTACCTACCTATGTCTACTAAAATTGTTATTTAATTATATTATTATTTTAAGCTAACTGTTTTAACGATTTAATTGTCTTATTTATTGACACGGCACCTATAAGGGTCTGTTGTTTGTTACCATTAGATTTATAATAAGTGCATTAATTTAAAACGGTATATATTTGAGGCTAATGATGTTTTAGAAAAGATAGGTATTTTGGTACCTAATAAAATAAAGTTTATATAATTCGTTTCCTTTATTTTGTACCTCCACATATGATTCTCATTTTCACAGCGACCAGCAGCAACGGGACCGTAGAGTGAATAAAATTCACACTACCTAATTTTAAGGCCCCGATCGAAAGGGTGGGCGTGGCCCCTAGCTAGGGTGGTAGCAATTTTACACTGCGCCGATCGCACTAGATCGGGTCCCTTATTCCCTAACTCACATTAGACCACCCTTAGCCAGGGTAAGGGTTCCTTAAAATTGGGTAGGTAATGTAAATCTCGCATTAATGCTAAGGTCCTGCAGGCCTATTCGCTAACTGATTTTGACAAATGGAAGTGATAATTACCGAGCTATTTACTGATCCGCTACTGCTTTATCATATCGCCACCTCAGATCTAAGAGCATATATATTAGTATATATTCTCAGCCTATTTATTTGATCTGATATCAAATAAAATATTTGAATATTTGAGAATGCCATTGCGATACTTGTTCCTGTTCTGAAAAGCATCGATAAATATGCTATTTTCTTTTAAGGTACACCCAGGGTTGGATTTTGTACTATAATTATAGTATTTATACTATGATTTAGCCATTTGTACTATATACTATCCACAGCTCAGGATAGTACGCTTAAATACTATAATTTAAAGTTTGCTCCCGAATGCTTAGTTTTACGTCATATTATGAATATTTCGACCGTGCTTGTATCATTGTTGTATCCAACCGAATTCGGATCATGCGATGTTTTCTGTGTTGATGACCGGGGATTCCTTATTATCCTCCGCAGTACACTTCTCTCTCTCCATTCGAAACTCAATCAAAGTTTGCTCATTGTTTTAACAATCACTTGCGAGTTTTTATGTAAAACAATACGTTTGTGTTTTAATTATGGAAAGTCGCATCAAAAGCGGAAGCAAAAGTGGGCATTGTACTGATTTTATTCCTACTGAGGATATATTGATGAGATTAAATGCCAAGGATGAAGATAGAACTAATAGTAATATTCAAGAACTCATAGACTTAGACGAGGAGTAAATATTGCCTTAACGGGTGTTGATTTTATTGTATTATTTATTAATTATTTTTATTATATGTTAAATTAAAAATAATGAAAGTGTACTATTTTTTTTATAAATACTATCCTTTTCATTTTTTGTGCTATCTTTTTCAATAAACCTAAATCCAACCCTGGGTACTCCACAGATTATTCAAATTCAATAGTTACTACGTAACAGTAAATGTCAAAAAGTAGACCGGCTGATGGCCTATTTGCTAACTTTTTGCATTTTAACGTGTGTAACTAAAGATAAAAAGAGGAATAATAAGTCCAGCTATAGAATTTATGTTTGCATACGTTATTAAACTTCTCATCATCTAACTAAGCAATGGGAAAATGAGTTAGCTTCTAATAAACTAATTCATCTTTTTTACTATGTCAGCTAAATATTTTAAAGAAAGCGTCAAGGAAAGATCAACATTAACTTTTACTTGCCCTTCTGATTTATACTTTTTTTCTGATTTATCCACGTAATTTACTAACACAGCCAAGTTTACATCTTATCATTTTATGTTTTACAGCTTCAGCAGAAGTTCCTTTAAAATATAATTATCTTTCAAACTTCAACTTTCAATATACAACATCATAATATTATAACTTAGCATCAATATTATTTCATCATATTCTCCCAGATTACAGAACAAAAGGCAGATGGAACGCATGGTACACACAATGCGTGCCACCAAAGCAAATACGAAGTCAAAAGTAAATGCTTTTTTTGTCTTTGTGAACAGTTTTTACGATGTAGGTATGAACAAGACGGCACAGGTTTAATGAAAACATAATAGTGGAGTGCCTGGGGATGTAGAACTCGAACTTTTGCTGCAGTGAATAAATGTTTATGGTTGAAATGGAATTTTGCAATGGCTACCATTTTTTTCTGTGCTTTTGTTTTTTTTGAAGTGAAACTGTGGCATTTGGCGTTACGCGTTATGTTACGCGCGCACTCATCAGTAAGCAATGAACAATACCCGTCACAAAATACTTGAATCTAGTGCTTGGTTGGTGATAACCTTTTTCTGCGTTCTGAGGTGATAACGTACCCAGCGCGGATTGGTCGGTAATAACGGACCCAGCGCGGATTGGTGGCTGATAACGGACCCAGCGCGGATTGGTGGGTGATAACAGACCCAGTGCGAATTGGTGGGTGACAATGGATCCAGTGCGGATTGTTGGGTGATAGTGGACCCAGCGCGGATAGTTTGGTGATAATGGACCCAGTGAGGATTGGAGGGTGATAAAGGAGCCGGGGGATTGGTGGTTTTTATTCTATCAACAAATCTTCAGGTCAAGTTTATGATTTTCAGATCATCGGAGCTTAAGAAGTTTCACTTCAGTCGTGTGGTCATAAGCACTGTCGGACGTTGATCGTCTACGGTTTATTACAAAAGTTTATTCCTATTTCTTCGTTTGAAAAATAAATATTCAAAGTTATAATTTTTATGTTTCATGCATGTAACTGCTTGATGTTTTAAATCTAAAGAATTTATAACCAGAAAAAAAATTAAATCTAAAGAAAATATAACCAGATTTTTTTCTGGTTATATTTTCTTTAGATTTAAAATAATCAAAGGTGTCAACCTTTATATTATTATGTTTGTACATGTTATATTTTCATTTAGATCAGTTTTTGTTGAAGTTATACTTCTATAGGCGCGTTATGAAAAAATGATGAGAGTGAAATTTTAAGATGCGCGCGCATCACTGTAACACAAAAATTAACAGCATGATGCTTCATGCTGTTACTTTTGTGTTTACCGCAAATTAAGAAAATCTACCAACAAAATAGAAATAGTATCTCCTAACGACTGCATTGTGAAGACCTATCAAAAGTATTTATTAAATCTGGAACAACGGAACCAAAGCGCGATTCAGGAGACTACAGCGCCATCTCTTGACCATTGGTGTAGTAGAACCAAAAACCACATCTTTATTTTTTGTAATAAAGTAACAGTTATAGGTATTCATAATTTCATATTTATAATATTTATCCACATGTTTCTAGTTTGTATATTCGGAATACGTGTTTGAGTTTCATACAAGAGCAAATCACATATGTTGTAATAAATTATATTCAGTAGCGATTTTAATTGAATATTTTGATTATTTATTTATTTTTTCAAATTAAAACTGAACTTTATTGACTGTGTCCTTTTCCAGGCTTTTTATTAATTTATTGTAATTAATTATTTGCATGCAATTAAAAACAAATTTTAAACGATGCCAAAGAAAGATAACTTCTCACGTGCCTATATAAGTACACGCACCCATTTTTTTATTTGTACCATCAGCCCATTCTTGTTCCTGGAGCCTTTGAGGTATTACGTCCCAAAGAACTACTTCTGCCTCGTTTGCTTCTACGAATTTGAGAGTGTCTCGCTCACTCCACTTTCTTTTATTGCAAGAGGCCATAGTTTTTAGGGTTCCGTACCCAAGGGGCATAAACGGGACCGTATTACTCCTCTGTCCATCTGTCTGCCGTATGTCACCAGGCTGTACCTCATGAACCGTGATAATCTAGCTAGACAGTTGAAATTTTCACAGATAATGTATTTATTTGCATGTATGTAATGTCTTTGCCGCTACAACAGCAGATGCTTAAAACAGTATAAAATAAATATTCAAGGGGAGCTCCCATTCAAAAGACGTGTTTTTTGCTCGATATTATAATATAATGTTTAATGTTGTTTAAATAAAAAAACAGTTAAAAATGTCACAAATCAACTTTTTTATGTTGATCTAGGCAAAAGAGCTAGCAGTCTACCTCATAATAAGTGGTCACTGCTGCCCATGGACACTTGCAGCACCAAGGGCCACTCAGGCGTTGCCGTAATTTTTTTAACCCGGACTACAAATAAAACCCCGCCCGGACGCTCCCCGGACGCCCCGTAAACTAGGACAAATCCGGGGAAACCCGGACGAATGGCAGCCCTAGTTAAGACTATTGTATCGTGATGTGAAAGTAGAAGGCAAGAATGGATCTGAAACAATTATTGGACATTATAACTATTGTGTCGTGTTGTTTTGTGGTAAGAAGCCTTAGATTAAAGCAGAAAGGAAGATACGGCATTCGCGGCTCAAAAGTGATCCGCTTAAATTGTGGTCCACGACCATAATTCGCTTTAGTCACAATTTGACATTCAAACACGCTGCATGTACACTCAATATAACAATATTGCGTATATTCTGTGTTATGAAGATAAAACAATGCTTCGATGCTTTAATTAAGAACAAAATACTTAGTTCAAAATCAAATGCCCCGGCAACGCTTTTCATTCGTAAAACTGTAATTTTTTTTTTCTCAAAAATCACGGTTTGTCGTGAATATTATTTACGTAATCGCCATTTTGTAAGCAAGAAAAGGACAACAATACGCTGTATTGAAGCGTATAGTTCTGTCTCGCTCGCTCGATTGATGTTTATATACAGACGTGTGCGTGGCAAGAGTTGCTTATGTAGTTGAGTCGGATCATATTTTATTTGATGCTAGTATGAGCGTACCCTTTTTATTTTAATCTAAGTAAGAAGCTGAACGAAAGAGAAGAACATGCAATTGCACTCGGAGGGGAAACCATAACAAATATCATCATCATCATCAGCCTATTAATGTCCCCACTGCTGGGGCACACAACTCAAGCACTTCTTGGTTCACAGTTACGCGCTGCCCGTTGAAAAGTCAAGTTGCCGCAGAGCTCCGTGTAAAAGTGCAAAAAAAAATACTTATAGTATGTAAAGTGTCGTTTTTTCGAAAATCAATGTTTGATAATTTAACGCATTTGAACCAAATTTTGTTTTAATACTTACTATAAACTGATTAAATAGAAAATATTTGTGATATTCAAATGCATGGTCGGTAATATAGATGTAAAACAACCGATTAAAAACGTTTTAAAACAAATGTTGCCATTTTAAACCCCAAATAAATCGTTTTAAACGGTTGAAAACTGGCATACAAAAATAAAAGAACTATGTTTTTTACACTTCATCATTATGGTCATTTTTTTTTAATTTTGTACTAGTTCTTTATTTACAGTCATCATCGGCTCGTATAATAAAACAATTTCGAATGAGGCACTGTAAAAATTGTAACACCTTTTGGTTGTTAAGTCGGATAAACAGCTCTCAACCGCTGTATAAACGTTATAATCGGCTGCTTTGGCTTACTATCCGATAATAATCTTAGTAACCGCTGTTTTATAACTATAATTATGACTCAATAGGATCTAGGGAATTCTAAACAATTTTGAATATCCCGAATTCTTTTAATCTAGCTAGCGAGATTTGATGTAACTTCTAGTGACTTCTCCAAATAAAAAGGTGGCAACATTGAGTGACATTTGATTGAGGTGTTTAACATTTGGCTTAAAAAGGACTACAATACAGAACCGTAAAACATATAAATAAAAAAAATATTGAGGAGTTTTTGGCGGGATTTCATCGAGTGCGGTTGGCATCTTATTTTAATTTTTCTCAAATTCGTTCATATTGGTTTGCTATTGAGAATCATGCGAGAATCGACACCATTGTGAAATAAAATTAGTGTGGTTTTGTGTTACAACCGTCTGCGCAACTGAAGAAAGTGGAATCTTTACAATATACGCTATTCCGGTCAAGTGGACGTGGGAACTTTATTGTAGTGTTGACTACCACACAGAAGCTTTTCGAATAAGCCAACTCCCATAAATTTCGTGCCAAACAATTTTCTTTTTTTTTTTTACATTAGAATGCGTTACACTGACATTCTAATGTAAAAAAAAAGAAAATTAATACAACTAATACTTTAATGATAAGTTTTTAGTTTGATATATATTGTTGTGACGTAATTATAGTTATTTGTTTAATAAAAATAATTATACAACTTAAGACTGGGCTGTATGGGTATTGTGCCCTTTCGCTTCCCTAAAAAGGGAGAATCTTAAAAAAAAATATTGAGGTTGTAAATGTGTGTGTGACTCTGTGTTGTAGACGAAAAATAACGAAAATATTGTTTTGTATTTGTTTACGTTTGTGTACAATTTTTAGGTTTCTATTAAAAAAATATGTGTCTAATAAAGCTTGTTACAATTACAGTACAACTTTGTTTTCGCGTTGTCTAATGCGAATTAATAAATTATGTCTATATTTTATTCGGTCTTGTGGTATCCCTACTCTATTTTCTAAGGATTAAGAAATTGTAATTATCTCGATTAAGAGGTAAGAAATGCTCAATTTTATTTATTTAACATGTAGTAATAATATTTAAATGACTACTAAAACTGGAAGCCTGTGGGGTAAAACTGTACTTCCAGGGCCCAAAAGGTGATACTTGTTTTTTTTTGTAGAAAAGGTGTTTTGTACAGATTTTTTATTTCTGGCGCTTCGCCGGCCGCTGCCGCGGCACGCTCGCTTTGCTCGCTCGGCTCGCGCATTATGGTCACAAGACTAACCTAACCTAACCTAGTATGAAGTATCACCACTTCATAAGAAAAGTAAAAATTTTCAATATTTTTTTCTAAAAAACTACCAGAGTGTAAGTGTGACATTTTTTTTAATAATGTGGTTAACAGAAACCTTTTTAACAACAAAAATGAGAAATTACAACCAACAAAACTGTGAAGTTCATAGTTTTGGGCCCTGGAAGTACAGTATATCCGCCTGTGGACTCTTGTCCCGCAGTTACGACCTGTACAAGCGTCAGCGGAAAATAGAATTGAGAGACCAGCTATAATCAGTTAAATGATTGGCTTCACTGCGCTCGAATAGATACCGCACTGCCTAAAAACAACAGTCCGTAAATGCGGCAACTTATTGTGGTGTGTATTGTATATGTCAATTTGCAACAATGCTAATGCTATTGTGTGTTAAGAATTATGTAGCCCGCTGCTCAACTGCTACGCAAGTAATAGGAAAAATATTTATTGCTGTGTTCTATTGGATACAAATTTAGGTGGTTATAATTATTATGAACACTTTATTTATTTAAGAATATTTTTGTGTAAGTACTTAAATGATTAGGCAAAGGCTTTTTCATCTGACAAATGTGTGTATGATTAGGCCTCAATTTTAATATTTTTTTATTAACATGTATTTACAAAATATTATTCAAAATAATCTGAGCATATAAGGTAGATTACAAAGATACACATCAAATTATATTAAACTAGGTTAAGTTTAACAGTAACTTTAAATGACATGGGTTAAATAATAAAATACACTTACAATAAATTGACATTATAATAATCTTGTGGCAACACTTGAATGATGTTTAGGGTTCATGTTATTAAATGTTGAAATTTATAAATTTTACAATACTTATTAATTGGTATGTGATCTCAGTGTCCATTTTTCGTAGTATTATTTCACTGTGTAAACGGTTTTTTTTCTTTTGATTATGGGCAAAGTTTAATAAACTATCAGGTACATACACCTTATACACAACTGTCAGTGTGACTAGCTCAGTGAAGGCTTGCATACACTGTCTTTGGTGTAGTATTTGTTGCAGGATTTGACAAGTATCTAGTGAACTGCAGGATGACCAATCATTTTTCTGTGCAGCTTTAATAATGTGTGCAGATTGCATTAATATTTTTATTTCCTTCTTTTTAAAAATTATTTTCTGCTGCTGAAACTTTATGTAGAAAATGTTAGATTTTATTTGTTTGATTCGGTAATATTTACAAAAATATTAATAATTCGAGATTAGAGGGATCACAGTACAGTTATACTATTTTTTCTCTCTGGATTGTGGTTTGTTATCAAGTAGTACTGGACAGTGAGTTTCAATGGTGATTTCGGAACGATTATGAGGGGGATTAAAATGCAAGTTCCTAAAGTTTTCATGTGTGGTTATATAAGGATGTGTATAGTGCACATTGTGTTTGTCATATGAAATAATAAAAGGTTAAGACAAAAATTGTTTTGAAGATCAAAATAAAATTAAAAAGTAGTCGGGCGCCAGACCTACCTCAATAGACTTGCCAAAAGAGCATTGAACTATTAATCGCATGGGGGGTTGAAGCACAATCCAAACTCACTTTTTTATTTAGAAGCTAAATCCAATTATCCTATATAAATTTATAATCTACCTGAATTTTACATAATGGAATAATTTTCTCTCACCAGAATTAGTATATACATATCCTTATTAGTATATGCACTTGCTGTCCCCGCTGCATCTTCGTTATGTGTTGAGTTTAATTTATGAATGGAAGCTTCGCTCCCATGTAATGACAATGGCTTATTTCATAGCCCAATATAAAATTCTCTAAAGTATAATCAAAAACACCTAAGACTAAAAATAAACAGAAAATACATAAAACAAAAGAGTAAGTTCTCACCGTTTTATAAAAATATTAAACAAACAGACTGCCATATCCACGGCAAACTTATGATTTTTAGTAGGAGTACAAAATGTTCATGTAAATTACCGAAATATTTAAAGGAAAACACTTTTACAATTTAGAAAAACACATTATTAAAAATTATTTATTAAACTTACAAGTTTAACATGTAAATAATTAAGATACCTAAATTCTCATGTTGTAAAAATTTTCTTTCTTTTTGTTCCTTCCAAAAGCAAGCAAAGGAATCAGTTCAGAAGCCTTGTTAAGCCACAGAAAATAAAAAAATACGCATAGACTAAAGTAGAACTTTTTATTAGCTGCAGTAAAATGACGTTATGTGGGTTACCGCTTTTTAAAGAAAAATAAATAGGGATGTAGCTAAGTGAGTAAGTGAATCATTCAATAAATGAGTGATCAGTTTGGTTTTATTTTAGAGATTTAATATTGTATCGGCGTTATGCGTACTCTTCAATAAAACTCAGTTGTTTACTTGAATAATGCGTATATTGCGAATATAATTACAAAAAAAATAAAATTAAACGAAAATTGCGAAAGAAAGTTGAGCGTACAAAAATTTGAATTGCGTAGAGAGTGAAGTGTAGAGGGGGTTTTTTTGATCACGTGGGTCAAAGCTGCTTGTAGAAATGGAGCGACGTTCCGGTGTAGGCAGAACTTCTTACTCATGCGTCAACAAATATTAAGTTGTAATGTTTTTTTATTCTATTATTATTACTTTAGTAAAGGATTGATCTTTTTCATTGGAAGTATAAGGACGTACATCCAAAATTAAACAAAATTGTCATAACAATGTTATTTATTAATCAATCATTTTCGGAATCACTATCGCTTCCGGTCACATTAATGACAAATCTGTCTGTCACTTCATCTATAATATGATCGAGGTGGCACATTTTGTCTTCCTCTTTTATAGTGTGAGACACACAGTCACTCCACTTAGTCGGTGTCACTTTGTTAATTCCTTCTTGGAATAAAGTTTTCACTTCTTGCATTTTATATGTTTTATTATTGTTTGCGACGTGCCCCTTTACCTGAGCCCAAACCAACTCGATGGGGTTCAATCCACAGTGATAAAGGGGCAGTCTTAAAAGTCTGATACCTTTTTCAGCAATCTCGTCCACGGCATATTTCTCAGTATGATTTTGTTGTTTTACAATATCTATCAGAGTCCCCTTCACCATATTTGGTTCAAATGTAATATTTTTAGTGGTCAGCCACTCTTGAATTCGTGCTTTCGTCCACGACATCTTTGGGATTGATTCGATCTTCCTAGAATGATAGGGCGCGTTGTCCATTACGACTACTGCATTCGGCTTGAGTTTGGGTAGAATGCCGTCGAACCACTCCTCGAAACACTGCGTTCATTTCATCATGGTAATCTTCTGTACCTTTCTTTGCTTCAAACATAAGAAGTCCGTCGTCCAGGAAGCCTTCTTCTCCGCCTATGTGACTGATTATGAGTCGTTTGCCCTTTCCTGTGGGATTTTTTAATTCCGTAGTTAGACCGTCTAAAAATGCGTGCCGAGAAGATTTTATACTTCCACCACTCCAGGTTTTTTTTTGTAGTATGACCTGAAAGAACAAAAAATAATCATATGTTTCGACAGCTAAATAAAAGGGGATCAAACATAGAAAACTAAGAGTTGCCACTTACCAGCGTTGATCCAGGTCTCGTCTTGATAATATATGTATCTTCCCTCCCTACGATATTGTTTAATTAAACGCAGGTAGCGCTGGCGCCATGATATGATATCTTGTCTGTCATTAAGTACGCTCTTGCGTGTTCGAGTAGCGAATTTGAAATTAAGATGCTTCATAATTTTTCTCAAAGTCTCTTTCGAGAAGTTGGGCAATTCTGGGTCATCATTTACAACTTGCAGCACCTAAAAATTATTGACTTATTATTACCTAATTGGTTAAAATTTCACATGGGGTGGGAGAAAACATATTATACCTAACGAAAAATAATAAGATTAGTGATGACAGGTAAACTAACCTTTGCGATGGTTGGTACTTCATTTCTATGACAGAACTGATGTACAATTCGTCTAATAGCGGTGAATGTGAAATCATCAAGTTTTTCTTTAAATGTAAGTTTTGGGCCAGAGTTTTCGGGAGGTTTTAGTGATTCACAGTCGTTCTCCTTGTGCTCCTTTAAAACGGAATAAACAGGATATCCCCAAGACTTCAGCCACCTTGTTGACGTATTCACTTGTTTTTGGAACTTAAATGTTTGATTCTGTAGATTTCACTTCAAACACATATTTTTAAACGTTTCTGACCCAAAGTTTCTCGGTTGCACTTAGAGCTACACGTGGCCTTATTTTCTTAGGAGATAAAAATGTATCTCCATCTTGTGATGTGCTCAACTGAGCATCCATGTCTTCGATGTAACAAATAAAAAAAGCTGACACGATTATCAAAAATAAGTAGGTAACGAAAAACTAAACACAACGTAACAAAAATTTAACAATAAAGATAACTAAAACAACTCGCAGTGGGCAAAGCAAAGTTATTCGTGCACTCTAAATAGAAGTTAGAAGCCGAATGAGCGAATGACAAATAAAATAAAATGGCGGACAAGCGTCATCGTAGCACCTTAACTGAAAACCTGTACCAACTTGAGATTTTATACAGCCTTTTATTTATATGAATAATAAATAGAATTAAGTATGATCATTATGAGTTACTTATGGAACGATTAGATTTTCTGTGAACCTAAACACATCCCTATTGAAATTAGGCTGTCAACATTATTTTACGGAATGACATTTTGAAACGCCATTTTACTGCAGCTATTAAAAAGTCGAAGTATAGCGAAAACGATCTATGGTAAACGAAAACAGTGAAACAACCTAAACAGAGGCCTTCTATCTCTCTCCTCTAACAAAAAAAACTCATGTTATGTGTTAACATGTTACATGTTTACTATAGATCTGTGTACAGAATGAAAAACTGTCAAGGGTGAACTGGTGTTATAATTTCGAACCCCAATTCCAACACCAAACAGTATTTACTGACTGATATTTTGTTTATTTACTGGGCAACATTACAAGCAAGTCAAAAAGTTAGAATTATTGGACTTGACGCAAACTCTGATATATATTTTTACTGGGCTACTAAGTAATGCTTATTATTTTATTGCATTCAGGTGAAAAATGTCGGAGGTGGACAAATTGAAACGTCGTGTTATTAGAACAGTGGCGAAAATGACCCGTCAGGAGAAGAAGCCTGAACAAGAAATATGGGACTTTCTCAAAGCTGAGACCAAATGTGATTGCAAACTGTTAATGTGAGTTTTTGAGACGTACTTAAGGACAATTTTACTAGAATAAGAAAGTAATGTTCGAACCTACGCCTTTCGCTATCTGGGCAGACGCACTAACCAACTATGCTGGGTGTGGTACATATATCGACAGTCACTGTATCAACAGTAAAGTAATTCAAACTTTTTGTTTTGGCGCTTCACCGGTGTCTCTGGTAGCACGCCCCTCGACACGCTGCTGCGCTGGCTTCGCACGCTTCGGTCTGTAGGTACTGGTGTCGACACCGGTATGATCCTCCTCAAAACTAAATTTAACATCATACCTACTCTCCTTCTTATTCTGTGTAGATATCCTAAAATTTAGGTGTAGAGAATCATGCCAGAATGGATACCACTGTCGAAGTAGCGTACCATCGATTTGAAGTACTGTCGAATCCGTTAATGGAGCATTTTCGATATAGCGGCTGTTGATGTTGTGACTGTCGATGTCATGAGCGGCACCCAACTACGCTCCCGAGATCTTAATGGAGGTGTCCAATTTCTACTAGTATTTCTTAGGCTGCAAGGCAACGCCATCTCTTCGCATTATAGGAAACCCACAATGCATACCTGTTCAAAAAATGTTTTACCAAATCTATCTATATTCTCAATTTCTTACAGGGAACACATGCGCAGTCTTACAATTAAGAAAATTAACCGTCTCCTGATTGCTGAGGATAAAAAGGAGAACATCATTCCTAAGTCAAGAATGAAACTCACGGACTGGCTTCTTTTTGACATGTTGCTGGTGCATGAGGACATTGACGTCATTGGCGAGGTGAGCTCAATAGAAAGCCGTAAACAGTGTTTTTAGGCGTCCATTAGACGCTCATACAGCCTTCAGTCAATCCATCAATCATGAATGACGAAAAACCGATATGGCGACTGAAAAGTCTCCAGTCATCTCATTAGACGACAGGTTATCTATCGGTCATACATATCAATCAGTTAGGTGATCCATGACTGCCAGTAAACGGACCGATGATGTGGTCTACATGTACACACGACACGCTATACCAGGTATGTACCCGGATGTATTACCCTATCCTCCACGAAAACGGCCAACTAGAGCAGAGGTCCGAGACTCTGAGTCTTATGCACTTGGCGTCAAAAAAATCGCACATGCGCGAAAATAAAATTTCAAGCGTTATTATAAAATGACACCAATATTTGTGTCATTGGAAAGCCCATCAAATAAATTTAAAAGAACATTTTTTTTTAATTGGAACTGTGCAAAAAGCAATAAAGTTTACAAAACAATAAAAATCCTTAATTAAGCCATAATCAAAACCAGATTAATTACACAAAAAGGTTCTTAAAACTAACCTAATACCTAGTGTTACCCCCCCTTGCCAGGATGACGGCTTCCATACGCTCCCTCATGGCTCATACCAATTTTAAGAGCTCTTCTTGAGGGATACTGGCCCATTCCTCAATAACGGCTTTGGGATATACTTGAGCGCGGCAATAAAACAAGGCTACTTTTGTCTGTGTATCCCGTAACCGCCTGCCCTATGTGTACCCTCAAACCGGCTTTCATTGTTTTAACATGTTGCAAAAAGTCAATCAATAATATTTTTTTAATTCATTATTATTTTTTACATATAAGTGACTTTAGATCTAAGAAAAAACACAAAAGGTAAAGAAAAATACATAGCCTGAACTAGGAATATCCTTTGTTTCAGACAAAAAGTTCTAACTACTTTAAATAATCGATAGGACAATAAAACAAAAACAAAAATTACTAAATCTACTTAACATTAATTCTGTATGACAAGCAATTTCCGCGTCATTGCAGAGTTGTAAACTGGGTCAATATCTCTCATTTATTCTTTCTGTTTATTCGTATTTATTTATGATACATATTGGCGTCCGCATTAATAATTAGGTTTAAATTACGATTCTGTCATACTGAAACAAAATACAGATATGAAAAGTTCTAAAATATAAATAACAGATGATAACAATAGTTCACTATTAGCTAGCAATGAATAACAACAGTTCACTATTAGCTGATATGCTAAGTGCAGCTTGTATTATTTAAAATGCACTTAGACGTTGATGATGATTTAGGTACAGGATACGGATTTCAATTTCATAAAATAACATGTAAATGGTTCTTTTTGATTTCTTTGAAAGTCATTCTTCTTACAATCATCTTTCATTACTGTGATTAATGTCTAGTCCAGTCAACAAGTTCAAAAACGTGAAAAATAGAGATAAAGCTCCTAAAAATATGAGCAATAGCTCATTGGATTCGGAACGACCTCTAGAAAAATGAGTTTTGAGGATTTTACTGCACGTAAAAAATTGCAATTGTTATTAACAAAATAAGATAAAAAAAAAGAGGTATTTACGTTTTTGTTAATAACTCATAAACTATTAATATTTACGATATTTGGAAAAAAGGTCCTTAAAGAGGAGGAAATTTCCGAAAAAAAAGTCCCAGCTCCCGGAACTCTACCTCTATTATTTATAATTTTAATTTAACGCTGAAAATAGGTCTCCGCGCAGCCATTACCGCATGGGCGCACTGCCGTTAAAGACAGTTTCTTACATAAAATTATTTTTTTATAGTAACAAATATGAATTTAAAAATTTAAATAAATTATGGTGTCATCCAGATACTTGAAAAAATATATTCCCGTTGGAATTTTTTTTTAAAATTAATTTTTCAAAAAGTTATGCAATTGTTAATTAACGAATTTTTTTCCTATCTCCGTTTTCATAAATGACGACATAAAAATTTAAATAATAAACCTATAAATTTTTGGCTCTGTGGAGCTCTTCTTATATATATACTTAACAAGATCCCGCGATAAAAGTTTATTAAAGTTAATTATTTTGTTTATAACAATTTTTTAAAGTTAACAAAAAGTCTAAGAAATGTTATTAAAAAATTTTTTTTAAACAAATGTTATATTATTGCTGCTTTCTTATCCAACAATGGCATTAAGTAACATCGGAAAAAAAATTTTTACATCATTTGTTAAGAAATTGTTTATAAACAAATAGACAAGTTTAATATTTAAAGAAAAATTTTTTTACCATTATGTTGTCTTGGCAAAATAATGATTTTTAAAAAAAAAATTTTTCTTAAATATTTTTTTTTATTGTTTATAATCGTTTTTTTTATATTTCGATTGTTTAAATAATTAGTTAAGGAATGATTTTCTCTTTAAAAATCATAATTGTCATTTCTTCATAGGTAAATAGAAAAAAAAAAATTTATCAATAATTTCATTGTTTGTTAACAATTTGTTATAAACAAATTCTAACTACCGTTATATTTTTTTCTAGAGCTAAAAAAAATAAAAACAGCCATATATATCAAAATACTATAAAAAAAATTTTTCTATTTTTTATAACGCTTTTAAATATTACACGATACCAAAGTTGCACCGGACACTTGATTTGTCAAGTAAAAAATTAATATAACTTATATACTATTCGAGATACGATAATGGACATGGAGGTCGTTTTTATAAAGCATTAATTAATCTTCAAAATAAGCTAAAAACCAAGTTTGTAACTATTGTTTATCAGCTAATACATGCATTTGTTTATAAAATTTTGAGATTTCTTTAACTTTTTCGTATCTCTTATGACTTACAACTTAATAAATAATTAAAATACAGCTATAAACCTTAAAACAATTTTGTTTAGCGATACATTATCTCCCAAATTAAAAATCGTACCTCCATCTCTAATTGTTTAAACAATATACGTGATTTAATTAACATTTATTTAATATTTATCTAACACTTACCTTCATTTTGTATTTTTTTAATTTTCTCTACATTATTATAAGTTATTATAGCTTCTAAGTGAAACTGATTTTATCATTTATTTAAATAAATAGTTTCTTCGATGTCATTAAGTATTTTTTTTTCATATTTTTTGTAGTTTGATCTGTCGTATCTGCTAAATTTTTACATGTTAACCATATTTTTATATAGTTACAAACTTGGTTTTTAGCTTATTTTGAAGATTAATTAATGCTTTATAAAAACGACCTGAATGTCCATTATCGTATCTCGAATAGTTTATAAGTTATATTAATTTTTTACTTGACAAATCAAGTGTCCGGTGCAACTTCGGTATCGTGTAATATTTAAAAGCGTTATAAAAAATAGAAAAATTTTTTTTTTAGTATTTTGATATATATGGCTGTTTTTGTTATTTTTTTTAAGCTCTAGAAAAAAAATATAACGGTACTTAGAATTTGTTTATAACAAATTGTTAAGTTAACAAACAATGAAATTATTGATATTTTTTTTTTTTCTATTTACCTATGAAGAAATGCCAATTATGATTTTTAAAGAGAAAATCATTCCTTAACTAATTATTTAAACAATCGAAATATAAAAAAAACGATTATAAACAATAAAAAAAATTATTTAAGAATTTTTTTTTTTAAAAAATCATTATTTTGCCAAGACAACATATAGGTAAAAAAAAAATTTCTTTAAATATTAAACTTGTCTATTTGCTTATAAACAATTTCTTAACAAATGATGTAATTTTTTTTTTTCCGATGTTACTTAATGCCATTGTTGGATAAGAAAGCAGCAATAATATAACATTTGTTTAAAAAAAATTTTTTAATAACATTTCTTAGACTTTTCATTTTTTGTTAACTTTAAAAAATTGTTATAAACAAAATAATTAACTTTAATAAACTTTTATCGCGGGATCTTGTTAAGTATATATATAAGAAGAGCTCCACAGAGCCAAAAATTTATAGGTTTATTATTTAAACTTTTATGTCGTCATTTATGAAAACGGAGATAGGAAAAAAATTCGTTAATTAACAATTGCATAACTTTTTGAAAAATTAATTTTAAAAAAAAATTCCAACGGGAATATATTCTTTCAAGTATCTGGATGACACCATAATTTATTTAAATTTTTAAATTCATATTTGTTACTATAAAAAAATAATTTTATGTAAGAAACTGTCTTTAACGGCAGTGCGCCCATGCGGTAATGGCTGCGCGGAGACCTATTTTCAGCGTTAAATTGAAATTATAAATAATAGAGGTAGAGTTCCGGGAGCTGGGACTTTTTTTTCGGAAATTTCCTCCTCTTTAAGGACCTTTTTTCCAAATATCGTAAATATTAATAGTTTATGAGTTATTAACAAAAACGTAAATACCTCTTTTTTTTCATCTTATTTTGTTAATAACAATTGCAATTTTTTACGTGCAGTAAAATCCTCAAAACTCATTTTTCTAGAGGTCGTTCCGAATCCAATGAGCTCATATTTTTAGGAGCTTTATCTCTATTTTTCACGTTTTTGAACTTGTTGACTGGACTAGTCTGCAGATCAGCTGGATTATCTGCAACTACCACGGCGTCATCAGTCTACTGGTCGTAGCGTGATGTTTATGACCTTCCTCGATAAATGAAATATCCAACACTAATCCGACCTTTTTTCAAATCGGACCAGTAGTTCCTCAGATTAGCGCGTTCAACCAAACAAACAAACTCTTCAGCGTTATAATATTAGTATAAATTCTCAAACTCCGTTCGCAGGATCTAGATATCGAAGAGGACTTGCAACCGCTGTCGAGCCTCTTGGCTCTCGTGCAGGAGTTGCAGATCGAAGGCAAGCAGGGAGAGGCGCTTGCACAAGCCTGGACAGCCGCAACCATGGCCTACAACAAGGAGTGAGTTTTATAATCCGCATTCGCTGCTAAAAATTTTATGATCAGATTTGCTGTAAAAATTTGATGATCTTTGCTGTAAAAATTTGATAATTAAAGGAGAACATTCAAATTTCTATGGAGTGTGGTAGTCAGTCTCCGGCAGAGCCCAAACCTTTATGAGATGCAGTGCACTTATTTGTAAATCATTTGCCAAAAAACCTAGAATTTATTTTATCCCCGTTTTAATAATTATTATAATATAAAATTATTGGCAAATGGCAACTTTATTTATCTATTTTTGTTGCCAAAGCATCAAATATATTCTATTCAATAGGCAGCTAAAGCAGTGATAATTATTCTGTTCATCGTACATTGTGATTAAATTGATGCTATAAACCAACCACCACACACTAAAAATATGACGTTACTTATCACAGGGTGGCCAGCATCCTTACAAAATTGTTCAATTTTAAAATACGATTTAAAGTATGTGTTCATGTTATAATATAATACAAGCTATCAAATGATATATGTTTCCTCGCTGCCGGAAACCGACTACCACTCACCGAAACCGAGTCGCCAATTATCCGAATTAGTCCTAAGCGTAATATAAAAAATTAAAACCAAGTTATTTTTGTTTTGTTTTGTTGTAACAAGTTGGAATTGCTGGAGTCCAGATATATTTCATCTGTCATGGTTGAAAGCTAGAGGCAAGACACTACATGTTTTGCGTGGCGCGTTTTTTTTTAGCTTCTATGTACTTCTATTATTGTATTTATTTAGTATTGTAGAAGGGTGTTTGTTAAACTTATAAGGTTTATTCTATGTGTGACAGTTCGTTTTTCTTTATTACCAGTCTATGTCCGATTATCCAAATCGACCCCGGTCCCAATTTATTCGGATAATCGGCGTTCTACTGTAATAGGTAATTAAATTATGAACGGCCAGCGAGGATCGCTGGCCTCGCGTTCAGAAGTCCAAGCAAGATTTTTAACGTATTCGTATCGTATTCTCAAAGTTTCTATGAAAACTAAGCAGCGCCCGCAGAGTAGGACGTAAGAACAAAGTGGCTCCTTCCATACATAATTTTACTTTGACGATACGATTACGGAGCTGTCAAAATTCGTGCTCGGGTCTCCATCCAGGAGCTGCACGAGTATCCAATGAACGTGTGGACAACGTGTTCCGACTACGCGTAGCAAAGGAATGCGCTTTCCGTACACAGCTTGATAATATAAAAGATAAGGTGGATTTTGTTTAATACCTAAATAATGTTTTATAGTGGAAGAAAATGTTCACCGATGCTTTTGCAACGACGATGGTACCAATTAAAAAGAATATCTAGGTTGAAATTCTTCAAGTTATGGCAGTCTTGCCGGGACAATACCCAGAAGTTGAGCACATGCAAGGACGTCATGCCTACCGAACTGCAGAAGGAGGTCGCTAAAAGGTGAGTGGAAACAAATATCATTGCAAACTGCATGAGTAATAAAAATGAGGTACTGAAAATATCGATTTTTCGACAACTAGCGGCCGCTTGCGAACTCGTCCGTGTTAAATTTATTTTTTTGAAAATCCCACTGGAACCAAATTTTGTTCCCGCGATAAAAAGTCATCCTTTATCCCAATCCAGGTCATAAACTATATACGTACTAATTTGAATTCAAATCCGTTCAGTAGTTTTTGCGTAAAAGCGTAACAAACAAACAAATTCACTTTCGCATTCATATTATTAGTTGGGATTAGGATATCGCCATAACGATGGCGCGATTACACTTGGTAGGTGGCCCGAATACGAGTGCCAATGGAATTCGGGTAAACGACTAAGTGTCAAAATCAACAGAGTCGAGTACGCCCGCATTCGGGTAGTTTTGTTATGGTTACCCGATACGGTCTTTCAACCCATATTCCAGTGTAAATATTTCTTGCTGTGCCCGAATTGGACTATTGTCTTTCGTGCACCCGAATACGGGCTAACGACCAAAGTGTAATTGAGCCATTAGCATGGTCGATATATCGAAAATCGATATTTATCCGACTCCGATAGAACTTTGTTTTTATGCTTTTTTTTGTTAAAAATTACAGATATCCCCATATTGTAACTAAACCCTTTATGGAATGGAACAAACTCATCGAGTGGAAATATGTCATATTATCTGATGAAATGGTGAGTAAGAGCAAGCGCTCATTGAGCCACTTATCGCGGTCACTAGTGGCTCGGTAAAGCAGTGGCTTTACCGAGCCACTAGTGACCGCGATAAGTGAGACGCAGCCACCGTTAGTAACTTAGTGGTTGCCTCTAGTTGTTTAGTATTTATTAATAATTATACAAGGTGTAAAAAAACCGATGACTAAGACTAAAACTACGCATTCTGTACACCCAAACAAGTAATATTACAAAATATTATACTTGGGAATCATTTGTATTTTTAAGTTAAAAAAAAAAAAAAAAACAGTACGCAATGTATTGCGCAGCGCGCTACTCTGAAAAAGTTTCTAAATAACATTTTTGAAAATTTAAAAAAAATGTGACTGACCTTCAATATCTCCATAACCATAAATTTCCCAAGTATGGTCCCAAAGAAAAATATGATCGTCATAACATGGATAAATGGTGGCGTTCAACTTCGTTAAAGATTTTTTTACATCCTGTATATAAATTATATAAGGATAGCGAAAGATGCGGGTTCGAGTCCTGTCTGCTGCCTGGCCCGCATGTTTTTTTTTTCTAGTAACATTTTCTTTAAGTTATAGTAGTTTATAATAAAGTACCTGACAAAAAAAAGCAACTGCCCTACAACAGATTCAGAATAGTATTGAAAAATTAGCTATTAGCGAAATGCTTTATTCTGTAGAGGATTTAAGAAACGATAAGTCCAGGATATTTTATAATTCCCATAACCTAGCTCATTTTAGTCAGAGCACACCCTAACCCAACCTGGGTTTCATCCAAATCTCTTCAGCATTTTTTCAAGATTATGTTTGGTATACGCGCCAGAAAACTTCTTAGGCAACGGCCATAGACAAGGAAGCCTGCGCAATAGCAATAATAAATACAAAAACGCCTTCTGCGCAAGATTTTGTCTGTGGTTTTGCTATTTAGCTATAAATTATCAAAACATATAACCTTAATGCTTATAGTATATTTAGAATTATAACCTCTCTTTTTTTTAGTATGTAGGAACTAAATTATAGTAAAATTATCTAACATCATAGAGTCACCTGACTTTCCGTCTGCGCTCTGCCTCAAATATGTTTCTAGTTTAATTGGATAATTGTGTGTTTTTTTAAAAAGCTCTTATTATAATTATGTACTAAAATAACATTATTTGCCTCTTATCATCTGTCTGTATTCCAGGAAAAAAATATCAGGACTAAAATTCAGCAGACCCCTAGTATGATGAGTAAGTACAAATAAGACCTTATTGCCTTAATTAACGCATGTTTATAGGTTTTTACTATATGAAATAAAACAGGGAAATAAGACTTGAGTATAGATATTATGATTATATTGAATGATGAATTTCCTACTTAAGCTAAAAATAACGGTAAAGCTTCATGTTTGATTATTATGAATGCATAACACCAGTTTTGGTAAATAACATAGTTCGTTTTTCATAATAACGCAGCATGTCTCCGATCGACGTAATGCGCAGAATAACTTAACAAAAAAAAACTTACCTTCAAAGCCTTGTAAAACTAACTAATACCAAGGTTTATTTAAATGTGCGCGTTTTTTCGTGTTTACATTACACATTTTTAAACTGAGTAGTTAATAAATATTCCTTATGAAAAATATCAGTATTTCAATTAAGTTTGTAAGTGTATTATTTTTGTTTAGGTATAATTAATTATACATACAATGAAATAACTTCAATTCTTAGATTAAAACAAACGGGGAAGATACGGTACGCTCATATATATTAGCATCAAAAAAAAGGTAAATTTAAAAAATCAAAAAACCCGACTGCTTAATTATACTTCAAATAAAAACTGAAAAGAAAAAAACAAGTCCAGTAGTCTAAAATTAGATATTCTAGAATACATAATATTATTCAACATTTTTTTTTTTCAGTGGGTCCCGACTGTTAAAGTAGCTTTGTTCTTTATTAACAGAATTTTAGACTACTGGACTTGTTTTTTTCTTTTCAGTTTTTATTTGAAGTATAATTAAGCAGTCGGGTTTTTTGATTTTTTAAATTTACCTTTTTTATGTCACACTTTTTAGTTAGTTAGTATTTTAAGACGGTATATACCGTAGTCTTGTTACTTCAGTAAGGGAATTAATATCGCGGGAATTATTAAGTACCTTGCGTCGGTCTAAAAGATTTATTTATTAAGACATATAAAGACTTTACCAGCGGGGTCAAGGCTACAGATGGGCCTCAATTTTCGCAAAAATGTGTGAAGTTAAATCAAGTCGTTACATAAATATCATAGTAAACTAGCACTTACTCAAAAAGTCATCTTTTGTTTATGCTTTTTTTAATAGTTTAGCAGTAAATATAAAATTCATTTACTTTTATTCGTCGACTATTTAAAATTGGCAGTGGCTCCATTGTCATGTCAATGCCGGACGTCTAAGATTGTGATATACACAAATTCAGTGTCAGTCCCTAGTCTCATAATTTGATATACCTACATAATTCACAGAAACCCAATATGTAGATGCCAGAAGTTAACTTCAAATGTTTTTAATCATCCTATATACAATACCAATCAATGACGTTTATGTCGCAGATAGAAGAAAGCAGTAATTCCCGTCTGTTGTTTTGGACAATGGTGGCAATTGCCTTAGATCACTAAATTAAATAATTATGCAATCACCAAAGCAAAGTTTACAATATTTGATTAAACTAAAGGCGCATAATAAAATTTTCATAACGATAGGTAGAGCACCATAACAATCTCATTTATTATCAATTTATAGTTCTCTTTGCAGTTTTCTTTTAAAGCGTTCACTTTTTACAGGTCAAAGACTTTGTGTTCGACCCTTTTTTATTGGTAGTGTAAAACTCGAATGAAAAGTACTCCCAGAAGTGCAATCATGGCAATTATTTTCTAATTTTTTTTTGTTTAAAAAAATACCGAATAACGGTTTTTAAACAAAAAAAATTGGATATCACTGTTAAGCACAAATGCTAAGTAACTTTTACAAATATAATCAAATAAACCTATTACTTATTTTATTTTTAAATCTTTTTCATCAATTAAATACTTATCTTATCCTAACTATCTATACTAATATTATAAAGAGGCAAGATTTGTATGTTTGTAACAAATAATCTGTCAAACTACTGAACCGGTTTCAAATATTAATTCATCCTAAGGTAGCTACATTATTTATTATAACATTTTTCTTTATTTAAATACATTTTGTCCGAGTCACATAGGCTATATTTTATCCCGATAAATAAATTTCGCCCGTATAATGCCCGGGTGGATCACTAGTAAGTATAATATAATATTATAGATGCGAAAGTGAGGTTGTTTGTTGCGCTTCCGTGCCCTAATAGCTAAATCGAATATAATGAATTCCCATATAGAAGTAGATGGGAACTTGGTTCTTAGCTACAACATCGCAATACTTATAGGCGTAAGGTCGTGAAAGGGGTGATTTACCTATAAAAATCTACATTATTTACTTTGAATTTTGCAGAATTATTACAAAACCAATATTATCGCGAGCTGATTAATAAATACAGGGATTCCAATAAGTATGTACTTATTAGCGAAAAATGGGTTATTTGTCATTATATTAGAAAAACCTTTTTTGTAACATTATGAAATATCGTTAAAAAAATTAAAAACAGGAAAATACTGAGTTTTTTATTAAAATTCAATAATCATTAACACCTATTATGATAATATATTTTTCATCATTTAATAAGAAGGAACTGTATCACAGTTTTATTGTTAGTACTTCGTATAGGATCAGATACTGCGAATACCCCAATTTTTTTTCTTTTACATAGTACACCGCGCTATCACTTTGTCATCATTGTAACTTTTTAAATATTTGTCGAAATGACATTGTGTAAAAACCAAAGTTTATCGTCTTTAAATATCAAAAGCGATAAAAGTATTTGTTTTGATAAAAAATGATTTGTTAATATAAAATGTGCATTTTTGAAATAGATATCAAATAATATTTTAGTTTTGATAATCATATCGGTAATGATTTACACATTAAAAATAGATATATGGTGTCACGGACTTTTTTTTAGAACTATTTAAGAGATACATTTTCACTCTACATTACGTAACTTTTATTGTTTTTGCAGTGCAGGCCAAAATGGCTCGCAGATGGGAGATTTTTTTCCGTCTTATGTGACACTTATTGTTAAATATTGGCCAATTCACTCAATAACTACATAAATTATTATTTATATGTAATTATCGTATATGAGCTATATTACTGTTAAGTTTCATTAAAATCCATTCAGTATTTTTTAGGAGAAAGAGTAACAAAGATCTATACAAACGTAAGATTGAAATTAAAAGCGTATATGGTTAATATACAACTTTAAAGCGTTGTAGATCCTAAATAATCATATAAAATGAAAAATGGTGTTAGAAACCTAAATATGATTTTTGATTATCTAGACAGTGATACCCTACTCGACATATTTTGTCAACTTATTTTTTTTTACTTCGTCACAATATGGCGCCTAATTTTGCCTATATTGAATTTTGATTACTATCATATCTTTAGTAGCACTCCCATGATTGAGACGAATCGATTGATGTATGAATCATCGAAATCGGTCCAGGCGTTTGGTCTCTAGTGTGCCACAAAGGAACAAACATACATATATAGACTGTTAAACACATAACCCTGTCTGCGCGTCGCGCTTCGCGCTCTTGCATTGCGCAGCCGGGTAATAAAATATGCTCTGACACAACTACATAAGCAATTCTCACACATGCACACTTCTGTAAATAAACTTTCAATCGGGCGAGTGAGACAGAACTGTACTCTTCCACGCAGCGCGAGCGAAACGGCGAGCCCGTGTCGCTTGGCAACTGACTGCGTTTTCTTTCCTCTCTTTACAAACGGTTGAGCTGTATTTTTGTAATTTTCTTGATAACAATATGGCCATTAAGTAAATAACATTCATGACAAACTGTGATTTTTGAGAAAAAAATGTTTTTATAGTTTTACTGTAAACTTTTTTACAAAAATAGTTCAGCAAACTATTTTTGTTCTTTATAAAAGCATCGAAGGTATTGTTTTATATGACAGTATTTACGCAATATTGTAAAATTGTATGCACATGCAGCGTGTTTGAATGTCCAATTGAGACTAAAGCGAATTGTGGTCATGCACCTCAATTTAACGGGCCGTATCTTCCCTTTTTGTATTAATCTAAACTTCAGTTATCTTAAACAATAATTTCCTGAAACCTGTTGTACTAGTGCCAAAAACCTGCAGTAAAAAGTAGAATGGGCCAGGTATTGAAGTAAAAATATGAATTTAGTATTATTTTATGTTTTATTTGTTTTCAGATAACGGAGATTTAGATTTCTTTGAACCTTATATTAATACTATCGACTTGGATGCTGCTGATTCTGATAAAGAGAAAGATGAACCATGTAAAGATTCGTCTGACGAACGTTTTCTACAGACAGAAGTAACAGTTAAAATCGAAACTGTAGAGAAAATAGCAACAGTCAATAAAGAACCTTTAGTAAAAAAGACGTATGCGATGCGATTATTGGAAAGTTTTCCCAATATTGATAATGTGAATTTTACTATGGACCATTCGGTTTATGCGCCTGAAGGGAATAAAAGCTTACATATTGAGGAAGGAAATGAAATGATGGAAATTAATACTGAAGAAGTAAAATCGCAAAACCATATGGATCATATGGATGAAAATAATATGTACCAAGACTTAACTAATGAAAATATACATTCATGTCAAGACGATATTGTACCCGTTAAATCAGAAAATATTGATTTAGAAAAGGACGATGAGTATTTAGATACAGATTGGGATTTAAAACCTGAAAAAATAAATGATACAACAGTGATGCCTCACATAATCAACGTAATTGATCACGTCAGTGTTACAGAAGAACTTGTAAAAAAATCAATGAAAGATAAAGACTCAGTACATTCAATGTCAGTTGCTGATATGTCTTTGGTAAGCAACCCTTCTGAGTCGATTAGTATAGACGATGAATCCGATAGAAGCATACATGATAAATTTAAATCTTTCTTAAACTGTCAAAAGAAATCTCAGAATACAGAAAGTGATGGTTTAAATGTACAACTGATCCATAAAAATACAGAGATATCACACAATGATAATTTTAGAAATGGCAATCTCAGTCTTAATATGGCTATTCCTGTTGGTTTGACGTTCGCAGATGATGGACTTGAATTTGTTGATGATGGCATAGTGCCTAATGACAACGAAGATGTCATAAAGCCTATTCGTGAAAGTGATATAAAAGCCGGTACGTTTATTTTTTCTGGTTTACCTTTGAGAATTTATTTATTAATGTTTTGATGGCTGTTTGTTTTTTTATAAAATATAAGCGCTTCTAATGTTCTGATTATGAATTGTAAGTATACACAGAAAAATTAAATTATCTTTTTTTATAACCTTTTACTAAAAACGGTAAGGTGTTTTTGAAGATTGATAATGAACATTTGCTACGGTGGCCTACTTATCACCAGGCGGGAAATAAGCTTGTTTTCCACCCTTTTAACATAAGAAAAAAAAACAGTAACATTTGCATTCTCTTATTTTTTTGCAGGAAAAAATGTTGATTTATTTCAAGAAATTGATAGTGACTTGAACGATGACTGCAAAAAAGAGGGCGCGATAATTGATTTTAAATTATTGTTGCGACCTGTGGTTTACACGACTAGACTAGATCAAATGGCTGTTTTTCGAAATTCCGAAATTGACAATGTAAGGGACATAAACATTATCAATTGTGCTCTTGTTGAAAGTAAACCCATAATTAAAGAAGAAAAGGAGGAGGAAGTGAATGATGACTTGCCACAGGACAAATCAAAAGATAGCGACAATGAGGAGTCTGAAAATGCAACGAGTGAATCAGATGATATCCTGACTGATATGAGAGTGAGGTTATCCAGTAGCATATTACAAAAACCTAGAAGTCGTAGTTACAATTCTATACAACTTTGCAAAAATCCTGATTTCAACAAGAGACTAAAGCAGTTAACAGTCGGCTTTTTGAGTTCGACCCGCAATCGATATTTCTTAAAGAAACTTAAACCCCTAACTGTCGATGTGAGTAAAGCTTTCGAAAGTAAATTAATTGATGGCACCATGTACTTAATTGACAGCGAACAATCCTGTGAAGGTACATCAATAGTTGAAGTAAAAGATGACATAATATGGCATATTTCGTCGCGTTCCCGAGAATCTCCAGAAAAAGACAGACACTTGCGACCTTATACAGGTGTGAGACAATATCGAAATGTTAATAAACCGATGCCTAGAGTATTTAAACAGACAAATTTTCTCGATCAACCTGTTACAACAAAATCTGGTCCTGAGAAAAGTAATAAAAAGATTACTCCTTATTATTACTTTTCACAATGGAAAAATAAGCCAATGTCGAGCACGCAAAGCACAATTACAGATGTCGACGATGATGTTTTACTTACGGTAGATTCGCTCAATAAAATGTTGAACATAATGAAGACCGATACAGTTGAAGAAAGTGAAAAACTAACAGCAGGAAGTGAAGGACTAATAATGGAACGAGAAGTAGAAGTAAAGCGTGGATTAGAAGAAGACAATTCTAGGAAACAAAAATCTCAAGATTCGATAGAGAAAACTTCTTCAAATAATGAAGCTGAACTTATGATTGGTGAGGGCGATAAATCGATAAACCTTTCCCCACCAAAAGTGGGTGTGTTTGGTTATTGCTGTTGGGTGCGATATAAAATTAACTGTCCCAGCAGTAATCTGAGGCATACATGTCCTTATACATGTGAGTGCTGCTGTCGCATGGAATCGATTGAAACGAAAATACAAAGGCCACAGATTAAAACTACATATGTTCGTAAAAAATCAACCGCACCACCACTACATTCAATAAATTCTAATACTAGTATAAGATTGCATGAACGAAAAAAATCTGAAATTTCTACACAATGTGATCCCGGTCAACCTGCACTCTCAGAAAGTGTAACGAATAATTCACAAGAAAATGCTCAATTGGCTGATGAGACTAATTTATTCTCAATTATTACTAAAATTGATCGAACAAAAGAATCAAAATCTGTAAATGAGGGTATAACTTATAAAGATTTATCATGTAATGAAAGTAATGATGAAAGGGTCAAAAAACCTCGAATGAGTTTGCTACCAACGAGTGCTTTAACATATACTAACAATGTGCTACCCTCAAGATCAGTGATTAACAAACCAACGTCGAAACCTCCTGTTCCATTAGAACCGCGTAAAAAAAATATAATCGTGAAAAAATATGTTCAGCGGCCTCAATTAATTGAGCCAGTTCCATCGCATAGCCTCAAGAAACACCAATCAATGGAAAATTTGATATATCCAAATGCCATACAGAAATCTGAAGATGAAACAGTAAACCCTTTATTTTTGGGGGATAATAATAAACTTTTAAGGGAATGCAAAATTCCATCTACTTTAAATTCATGGAACATTAAAAAAACAGTTCAGGTTCAGAAGCTTAATCCGGGTATTACCGTGCCTGAAGGTGTACACATTATATTACAAGAAAGTGGTCAACTTACTTATGCAGTGGATCCTGTAGCCAATGTAAGTCCTGAGGCATTGACCAATATGCCTGCTTTATTAGCAGCTATACAAAAGGATCTGGATTCAACGAAAGCGCTGAATACAACCTCACCTAGCCATTTACAAACGGCTGTTAATGGAACTTCCATTACCACTATATCGCCAGGAAATGATGTAAAAGAACTAAATTCAGTTACATCACCCGCTCTTATAAAAAAGCCACCAATGATTTATGTAGAAAAAATAACAGTATTAACGGAAGATCAAAATGATTAACAGGATGGAGAAAATGACCTTCCAGCATTCAATATATCGAAACCTACACAATCGTTGCAAGATAGTTTCCATTTGGGAAACACAGCTAAATCCATAAGGATTTCAAATCTGTACATAAAAAAAAACCGGCTAAGTGCGAGTCGGACTCGCCCACGAGGGTTCCGTACAAACCTGTAGGCTTAGATTAAAACAAAAAGGGTAGATACGGCACTAGCCTCACAAAAGTGATCCGCATAAATTGTGGTCCACGACCCTGATCGCTTTAGCAGCGCTTTAGTCACAACTTGACATGCAAATGACGTACATGTGAACGCCAAAAAGAAATATTGCTAATATTTTGTGTTTATGATAAAACAATGCCTAAGTGTGTTTTTAAAAAGCTCAAATTGCTCAAAAACTTAAAATAAAACCCACGGAATCACTTGCCATTCGTAAGTACTATAAAATATATTTTTTCATAAAAATTGCTGTTTGTTTTGAATCTTATTCGGTAGTACGTCGAGTACTGGTCGCGTGACTGGTCGGTAGTGCAGTGACGCGGATCTCGCCGTCTCGTTCGCGCTGCCGTTGAAACTTAACGTGCTGTTTCGTTCGCGTCGGTAATGCAGTGACGCGGATCTCGCCGTCCCGTTCGCGCTGCCGCGCCGTTGAAACTTAAATTGCTGTTTCGTTCGTTCGATTGTATCTTTACAAACAGGTGGATGTGTGAGTGTTGCATATGTAGTAAAGTGGGATCAGTTTTTGTTTGATGCAAGTATGAGCGTACCGTATCTACCCTTTTTGTTTTAATCTAAGCCTGTAGGTATATAAGTAAAAGTTTACCGTATTTGATATGAATTTCAATTTAATACCTCTACGCGTTCATGAGAAAAGAGGTTCTTTAAATTTAAAAAAAATGTTTTTTATTATATCATGAAACTAAAACGTTACTTCCTACCAAATTTAAAGATTCTAAGTTCACGGGAAATACCCTGTAGGTTTTGATTCCCGTGTGATTTTCGAAAATTTGCGGCATATCTTTTGATTGCTTTGGCTTAAAAGACGGATTTTTTTCACAGCTCCAAGGGACAGTAGACCTGATTATTAAATATGAATTTCAGTCAGATACCTCCACGCGTACCTGAGAAAAACGGTCTTGACAGACGGACGGACGGACAACACAATGATCCTATAAGGGTTCCGTTTTTTTCCTTTTGAGGTACGGAACCCTAAAAAGTAAAGCTGTTTTAAAACGCTCACCGATATCCCAGAGAATAGCAGGTCTAGAGTAGGTAAGCGAACTATAACAATTAAACAATCGTCAGAATCGATTGATTTGGTGACAGATAATAGCTACGACTCAGTTGATTAATATATTTTAAGTGATTATGCTTTTCATCTGTACCTAAAGAAGACTCTTCAGATACCAGAACCATTTTTTTAAATAAAAGTTGTCGTAATAACAGTAGAAAATAAGCAAAACAAATAATAATTAAGCATTAAAAAAATAACGTCTCTGGGTCTTTTAGTTAGGCAGATCATTTGCATTTAATAGGTAGGTACTTATTTGACAATGTATAAAATAAAAGCATGAAGCACTAACAAGGTAAAATATATAAAATTTTCAGAACAAATAGTATCTATTTTGACTCTTGAAATTTGCATGTTGTAATCTGATATTGTATAGATAATCTTTATAATTTTTTGTAAAATACATTTTTAATATCGTTCATTTTTGTAAGAAAATTATTTTGTGTGCGTTCAATCACAAATTAGACATAACAGAAATAATCTCATGTATGTATTTCAATTTGCATATCTTTTTTTTCCAGTTACTAAGAAATATAATTATAATGTTGTGATCAATCGCATCTTAAATCCATAGAGGTTTAAATTTATGCGATGTACGCCTGCACGAAAATATTTAAATTGCGGAGGTCGAGCTAGGATTGTCAATATTGGTTTATGCACAAAAAACTCGCGGTAGTGGCTTTCGTAACTAGTCAATGACGTTTAATATATAGGCACGTTATACGCCGATATTGCATTTTAAAATGGCACAAGTTGTCCCGCCCCAACTTCCCTTCATCAAAAGTCCATCTTAGTCCACTGCTGAACATAGGCCAGCCACCTTTCGCAAATCGTCACTCCATCGTGCCCGAGGATGTCCTACACTACGTTTGCCTAGACGTGGTCTCCACTCAAGAACTCTTCTACCCCAACGGTTATCGGTTCTTCGGCAAATATGGCCAGCCCACTGCCACTTCAACTTGCTAATTTAGTGGGCTATGTCAATAACTCTGGTTCTCTGTCGTCCAGCCCACTACCACTTCAACTTGCTAATCCGGTGGGCTATGTCAATAACTGTGGTTCTCTGTCGGATTACCTCATTTCTGATGCAATCCTTCAGAGAAACGTCGAGCATAGCCCTTTCCATAGCGCGCTGAGGAGGAGATTCAAAAATTTAGTACAACTGATGAAAATATGCCAATTTTTTTTTTGTCACCGTAGGGTATTCTGTCTAACTGAAATAACATACCTATACTTTCTAGTTTACAAAAAAACATACTTGTTTTTCGTAGAAATAGTATTTATTTGTTAAAATGTAAAAATGTGAGGGTATGTATGAATTTATGTCAGTTTTGTTACCATATTTGGAGTCGAATAATAAATAAAACCATGAGGGATTCTACCACTTTTATATATTTATTTGAAAAATACAGTCTTATTATATCACATAACGAATCAAAAAGTAACAAAAACATCTTAGAAAACAGTTAAAAATAAAATTATCTTTCGGGTATGTTACCACAGTCTTCAAATCAACAATGGTTTTTCATGCTTATGATATAAAAAGAACATTAACATATTAAGAACATGTTCCGAAGTTGTTAAATAATTAATATTAATAACTAAAACCAAGTATATTTTTAAAAGTAAACAATTTTTCAACAAAATTTAATAAAATCTTTAAAAACCAAATAGGGACAGTAACAAATCCGACGGTAACAAAATTTTTAGGCTCTGTTTACATTGCCTCAACACAACAATTAAACTTAAAACATAATTATCTAGACATTCATTAAATATTGAGCTTAAATCTTATTCTAATGAGATCTATATCTTTCTAATGAGATCCATAAGAAGGAACACAGTAAGTATTTATTTATTATAAATTATTCAAAGTTTTATTAGTTACTTATTTTTATACCTATAAATGATTTAAATCGTGTTATTAATACATAGGTATGTCAAAATTTGTTCTTTTTAGCATGCTATGGCTTCTTACAAAATAATCAACATAATATATAGGTCTTCTTTAAATTATATTAGTTTTATAAACAATCAACATTTTCAAGTTATGTTATTATTCTTCACTAACAAAAACCTTAAAAATTTAGTAGATAATAAAAGGCACTATTTTTCAATCTTTATTAAGTTGTTCTCACTATCTTTAAGAACAAATTTTGCATTCGTCTTCTGGATAGTGATCGTAAATAAGCGCATCACAATAATCACACCAACATTCTAAACGACATAACAGCATCTTTAAGTCGTTTACATTCATTAATAAGGTAAAGTGAAACGGTCGAATACCCGTAGCACTGATTGGTGTTACATTTACATGGCATTTCCCACACTCAGAGGAAAGGATAAAATGTGTCTCAGCCCACGGCCACTTTAAATTGTAGTAATAATACTGCAGCAAATCATATTTTGTTAAAACTTTATCTATATCCACAACAACCACCATCTTTTTAGCAGTTATGACTCTAATTTGTCTCAATATCGTTTGAAGGAGATAACAATCTGTAAAAAAAAGCTAATATTACTAAAATAAAATAATTTAGGAATATCAGATCAACCTGGAAAACTCGAACGATAGGCGAGCGTAACTCGCTATATGAAAAGAAGAAGTTATAGAAATATAATCACAAGCTTAGCTACTCTTATACACCTACCTATACCAGTAGTTGAAGCCGCTGTGCTTTGAAAGGCGTAGCGTGTATGTTGCAGATTGAAAGTTTATTTTTTATGGACTCTCAATCGAGGATGGAAATCAATCTGTAAAAAAGATAAATTGTGAGACATTAAACGTAATTGAAAATATAATTTAATCTAAAACAGAAGTCAAGCGCAACTACCTTCACTACTTTGAAAGCATTTATCACAAATATAATCAAAATAACTGGGACCGCCGCCGACGCAATCTTCGCAGTAGAATTGTTTACATCCCATACATTTAGCTACCTGACCGAGTATTGTGCATCTGCATAAATTGCAATTTTGAAACTTCATGTTTCTCTTAGATGAACTAAATTTTGGCGTAATGTGTACGTTATTTTGCTTAGAACTAGGACCAGGAGAGGTTGGCAAAATAATTAGGGGTAATTTGTCGATATCCAGTGCTGAGTCTAGCATACTGTTCGAATTCGAACTGTCCATAAAATATTTTTTCCCTTCTTCCTTATCAACTGTATCGAATAAGGCGGTTTCTTCTGTTAGAATAGAACATGAAGGTGTGGGTGATGGAAGCTCAAGTTCAATTAAATCATGTAATAAGTCAGCCTCATCCAACTCTGCACAGGATGGAAGTGGTTGTAATGGATTACCGTTGCTTGATTGTAGATAGTGTTCACCAAGAGAAAAACAAGAACACTTTCCTCTTAGCGGTTCGCAAAAACAACTGACATCTCTGTATTTAATTTTATGTTTGTCTGTCTGTGTGTCTGAAATGATTTGGTGTACTTTCATGGTACCCGGCAACACACGTATATTGTCAGAAATTTTATTTGTAATTGTATTTATAGCTTCTTCCTCAATAAGGTGAACTTGTATAATAGTTTCAGATTTTTTAATTGCCTCGTATGCATCTCTAGCATTTTTTATGTCGGCGCCATGACATACTTTCATATCTAACATCCGTTTTATGGTGCCACCGATTCCATCTGCCACACTTTTGCCATGACCAGCTTCGAAAAATGACCACGTTGAGTAAGAAAGATTAAGTTGTCTGGTAAATAGGGAATGTAAAAAAAAGTTGTATTTCTGTCGATACTGAGAGGTTGGACCGTCCGAATAGTAATGGATAACATCTACGTCTGGGCACATCTCTTTAACTGTATCTAAAATAGGAGACAAGTGGGCCCATATTGCAGGAGGTTGGTGAGTGAGATTGTCAGATATCGTGCAAAAAGATTGTGATCTATTTTTCAAATAAATCATGCCAGTATGGAGACTGATTTGCGATTTCGAGGCACCAAAATGCATAGATTGTATTTCTTCCGTTAGTTTACTTTGATAATTTTCTGAAAAATCACAAATTATAACGGCCTCAGTAGCTTTCATATTAGTGACCGCTTTTTGATATTGTCTTTGTTGGTGAATATTATTAAAATGATGTTTTTTAAAAGCAATAATATCGTGGCTAAAATCATCCATCAATTTTTGCGCTGTGTCAGTCTTCGTTACTCGAACCGTCTTTTTTGTGTGAACTGTGGTTCCACCCTTTTTTGTGTATACATGGTCTTGGCGTTCCCACTGGTTCCAATTAACCGTCTGTAGTATGTCTTGATCTGCCGCAAATTGTGGGGTTTTGTTTTTGCATTTCTCACATTTGTTGTACATACATTCAAGGTTTTTTGTGTCACATACTAATTCTTGCAATAATTTGTCGAAATCTTCGTTTATTATATGACGTCTCCTTAAACTCTCGTATTGAAATTTAATATTATCATGTTTTTCGCACAGACAAGTAGACCTTGATTGGATATGAGGAGATAAAACAAAGAAAGGCTTATTTTTGTAAAAAGTAGTAATGCCATAACGCCCTCCCTCTGCTCTGTATTTTTTATGAAGATTTGGAGTACTGTCAATAAGATACCTAATTTGTTGTTTGTTTTTATTCTTTACTCTGCATTCTTTTTTACCTGATGTTATTCTACTAACATCGTCTCTTACGAAGAAAGCTTTTATTTCTGGAATCTCTATCTTTTTTGCCTTCTTTGGTTTAAGTCTTGCTGTCACTTTCAATCCAAGCACTTTAGAAGTATATTGCTTATTTTTCGAATTGTGAACCACTTTTTTCAACAACTGTTTTTCTGAATGTTTCGTACATCTTGAGAAACTGGTTTTTATTGCGCTCTCTAATACTTCATTTCGGGCTTTAATAATATCTAGTGATTTTTGTAAGGAAGCTATGGATTTAATGAATTGTTGTTGTAATCTCTGAATTCTTTTTTTGTAACATTCAGTTTTAGTTTTCATCTTTTTAATTAAAGCTTTATTATTTATGTTTTGTTTTTGACACAGTTGAAGTTTCTTTTTTAAGTTTTTAATTTTATTTTCCTCTGTTCTCTTTTCTTGTTCTGTTGTTATGTTTTCAGACACAGGCATAGGCGATGGTCTATTAATATTATGTTGACGTTGTCTGCTTATCTTTTTTTCTTCTCTCCACTCTTTTCGTTTTGATTCTGCTTCAGCTTGTGTCATTTCTGCAATTTTTTTCTTTTTTGATTTAATTCTTGCTAAGTTCTTTTTTCGCTGTTCCTCATACTTCTCTGGATTTTCATTTTTTAACCTCTCCCTATACCTACGCATCTTTTCTTTAGCTGTTAATGGCATATTTCTGCAAAAAATTAACACAAAAATACCGATTGGAAACACCAATATTTTAAATCATACTATCTACCTACCCACAATAAAACACAACCAACTATGTAGTTTCCATTAATCTTAGCAAGATGTTTTAAGTAATTTTTGAATGTAGTTGGTACCTATCTAATTCTCAGTTAAAACCGCTGTGTAAACTTAGCTTTATGCTGTCGGTTTTGTTACTCTTTCGGTCCAACTATATGTTACCGCACCTACAGTAACAAAACCGAAGTAACAAAATGTGTTAACCTAACCATAAAAAATAAACTTTTAGCGGTTTATTTTCTCGCTAAGTTAAACTACTTACAACAAGTTGTTCAGTATAAAACCGTGCATTTTTTGTTAATTTATTGTAAGGAACGTGCGGATAAGTAATTAATTGCGTTAGTACAAACCTGACGACGAATTTCTTCTCAGTCCAATCGGTAACACAACACACTCTCACTAGCGACGAAATGACACTGGCGTTCAATTTTAAGATGGCCGATCTTTAGGCTATAAGTGTTGCCATATATTTGCAAAACCAAAAAAAGCATTTGGTAGGTTTTTTTTATAATAAATTGGCGTAACAAACCTGACTTGTCCGGAAGTAACAAATTTCGGGGACACAAATTGTTTTTAGGTTTTAAATAGATAAAGGGAATTACAAGCATTATTAATTATTTTAAATATAATAATACAAGTTTAGTTTGTGTTTAAACAACAAAACATGTCCAGGTGTTCCACAAAATATTGATAAAACTTGAACTTAAAGATTTCATTTATTACTGGGGACACGCCAAAATGAAGGCGGGTATTTAATTAAAATAACTTACATATATTTAATTTAAGCTGGATTTCATTGGAATTTAGTTAAAAACGTTGTAAAAAGGGTAAATTTTTAATTAAGAGGCTATTTTATCCTAATTATGTAGAGAAACTCCTAAGAAAAAATAAAAAACTTAAAGGACATGCCAAAATGACAGTTGTGCTAAATTTTTGAATCTCCTCTGAGCGACTTTGAACCTGTGGACCAGCCGTACTGTCAGTGTCCACGTCTCGGCTCTGTATGTCATCACAGGTAGGACGCACTGATTGAAGACTGGTCTTTAGGCACTGTGAGATCGACGATGTCAGGACCTGACGTAGCTTCCCAAATGCTGCCCAACCTAGCTGAATTCTTCTATTCACCTCGTCCTCAAAGTAGTTTCTACCTAACTGCAATGTCTGCCCGAGGTACACATATTTTTGATCAGCTTCGAGAATGGCACCGTGTATTGCAATCGGTTCCGGTAAAACATGTTCATTGCACATAACCTTGGTTTTATCTAACTTCATCCGTAGGCCGATGCGTATAGTAGAGTCGACCAGGTAGTTCAGCATTTTTTTGGTCCTGTAGAGTTTCTGCCATAATGACCATGTCGTCAGCAAATCGCAAGTGAGAGATGCGTTCGCCATTTATGTTGATGCCACGTCCTTTCCAGTTCAGCGTCTTGAACATATCCTCTATTGCATTAGTGAACAATTTCGGGGAAATAACGTCCCCTTGTCTCACTCCACGATGCAACGGTATGGGACTTGTTTGCTGATTCTGTACTTGGACAGACACGGTGGCGGCTTCGTAGAGACATCTAATCACTTGGATGTATCGCCAGTCGACTTGGCAACGCTGCAGGGACTCCAGGACAGACCAGATTTCAATCGAGTCAAAGGCCTTCTCATAGTCCACAAATGCTAGGCACAAGGACTGATTGTACTTTTCAGTCTTCTGTATAATCTGCCGCACTGTGTGGATGTGGTCTATGGTGCCGTATCCGCTCCGAAACCCAGCCTGTTCCGGTGGTTAAAAGTTATCAAGTCTACGCGCAGGACGGTTGGCGATCACTCTTGAGAACAGCTTATAGTCGTGGCTCAAAAGGGATATGGGTCGATTCTTAAGTAGGGTCTTGCCCCTCTTTTTAAAGAACAAGACAATCATACTCCTACTCCACGCTTTCGGAGTTCTCCCTTTGAACAGGACAGTGTTAAAAAGCTTTTGGCTCCCTCAGTACGGGTTTACATCCAGCCTTTAAGAGTTCTGTTGTAACACCATCCTCTCCAGGGGCTTTTCCATTTTTAAGCTGTCCAAGAGCAATCTCGACTTCGCCAAAACTAACTTCTGGCAGGTTTTCGGTGATCCAACTTCCCTTGGGTAACAGCCGTCAATAAAGCGCACTTAAAGTGGTCACTTTCACTCTCATTCATAAAGCAGATTACATCTCGCTCTTTAGCCTCCACGTGTCTATGGTGTCAGCAACTGTCAAAATATATTTCTACATTAATTTCTCGAAAACTGTACTTACGAATGAAATGACTCGTTTTTCTTGTCTCTAGTATTTCCCGTGTAATTGTTTACTATCTAAAAACATACATAGGCCTTTTTGTCTGGAAATCGTAAATAAAATATTTACACGTTGTAGCAAAGTGTAGCCGCGGTGAGAGCGTGCCCGACTATAAGAAGTCGGGCAATTTACTGACTATCGCATTGCCAAACTAGAAGCGTGTATAACATAACGTATCTGTAACTATAAAACATCATAGTACCAGTGGCGTAGCATAGGTCACTAGCACCCGGTGCGGATTCCAAATTTGCCGCCCTCTTATTTTTGCAATCCATTATAAAAAAAATTGAGGTATGGTAAAAAGAGTACTTTTATTGAATAACACTAACCTAAGAGTGAAATTAACATTTTTTGACATAGAGTAGAAGGTAGACTATCACAATGACATCAAAAATGTAAATCTTTTCACTCGCTAACTTTGTGAATATATCCTATGAAACGGTCATCGGTAATCGTTAAATCATTATTTTCTGTAAGCAAAAAATGCTGTCGATCGCCTTCAAGGTGTAATTCGTGTTGCAACAATGTACGCGTAACGCGTAACTTTGCTGTTTTTCTACCAGTAGCTTTTAGCTTTAGCTACGGTGAAGTACAAAGAATGCGTAAGGAGACATATTTATTTAAAATAACATTGAAACTTGAAACGAAATAAGTTTCCTAAATAATAGTTATTGAGAAACCTTGCGCTTGCATCACCCATGCATAGAACCTGCATAGGTACCTGGGTATTTGGTAACAACAACAAAAAAATGACGAAAAAAAACTGAAAGTAATTAACTTTTTTTTGCGCGGACCGCACCCCCCCCCCCCCCCATGCTACGCCACTGCATAGTACATATCTAGGTATGTATTTGATTTATTGTTGAGAGTGAAATATAAACCAATAGTAACTAAAATACCTACTTCAATTTTAATGTTATTGTTTTAATGCTAACTAAAAAAACGTCAATTCATTGTTTATTGTTGAAATTAAACCACCGTCTACTAAACAGATATAATAAATTGTTTTTTGTGGCTCCATTTTTCATTAAACAATTCATAGATCAAATGAAACTCGCGCTCGCAGCGGTCTGAACTGGTCCGGCATAACGTACCGTACCCTAGCGCACTTTGTATGGAGATACAATGTCTATTTTGTGGTTCAAGTTTCAGTCAAACATGCCTAAGTCTTCTTCTTTCAGGCCATGATTGCTCAATTACAACGCGGAGCTACGATTTACGACACGATTATTTTTTTGGATTGGAATCAAACTTCACAAGTAGTAAAGGACTGAATAAAAACCTGAACGTTTAATCTCAGTCGGCCCCACGAGGATTGCACTGGAGGCAAATGGGAATGAAGTCATTGCCCCCTCTTCAGTTCTTTTATGCCCATTTTCCCCCGGTGAAATTCCCCGCGGGAGCGACTGGAAATATACGGATATCTCAGACTACTTCGAGCGCGAGTTCCATCCGCTTCTGTAAACTTATTTGTGCAAATATGTTACCTACCTACCTGTTCAGTAGACGGTTGTTTAAATTCAACATAAAACGGGTTTCTGGTTTGTATGTTTGCAAATAACAATAGCATTAAAATATTTTACGTTATTATTATTAGCTTATATTTCCGTTCTTTATGTTTCATTCCCGACAATAAATCAAACAACTATGAACGTACCACTACCACAATTTTTATGTGCACAAACCAAAGTTGGCAATCCTAATACGACCGCCGAGCTTAGGGTGCGGCCAGAGTGCACTCAGATTCAGATTCAGATTCAGATTTCGAAAACAAGCGCGTGAAATAAACAGTGTAGTCTAAGCAGGTTGCCTGCTTTTTCTCGCGCTTTGTTTTCTGAGTCTGAATCTGAGTCTGAATCAGGAGTGCACTCTGGCCGTACCCTTCGACTACACTGTTTATTTCTCGCGCTTGTTTTCGAAATCTGAATCTGAATCTGAATCTGAGTGCACTCTGGCCGCACCCTTAGGTATGAAACATACATAATATGAGATTATCTATAACTATCTATTTTGTGGGAAGCGTATCGGCGTTGTTGCATACTTACATAAGTTTTAATTGTTTTGTAAATACATTTGATTAATTTTCGTGTTTCTTGTTTATTTCGTAATTTATAATTAAACGCACTATTTTCAGTGTATGTAATCAACCAAATATTCCACACAGCTTTTGCGAGGCGACAGTTTCTTTATTCACTCACATACACACACACAAATTCATACTGATCGTATTGTAATTGCTTTAATTATTTCAAATAATGTAAGTCTGTTTGTAAACTGCATTGTTAACATTAATAATTAAGATGTATTATTCGGATCGGAGGGGATCTGTCACACAGGTCTTTAACCTATTTATTATAGGGGACAGGGACTACATTTCATTTAAGATTGTAATCAATTTATGTGGTAATATATAAATATTATTATTTGTGTGTAACACGCGTAGTGTAACACACTCAAAACGCATCCACACGCAGTGTGGTAGAATAAGGGCATCGAAACCCGTTCAATTTTGAAAACCCGGATTTCGTGGCTAGGAGTAATCAAAACCCGGGTAAACCGATATTCCGATTTTTAAAGTCTTTTTGTTATACATTTTAAAAATATGAGTTTGGTCTTATATCGGCTTTCTACAATGAGTACAAAATTTAAAGGACGAAGAAGTAATAAAATAAGTAATGTTCAAATTACATAAATAGTTTTAATATTACAAAAGACAATGTTTTCTTCATCATCATCATATCAATCGTACGGCGCCCACTAATCGGTCCTATGCCACTCGCATCCAGCGGCTTCCCGCGACCTTTACCGACTATCTACGTCGGTCCACCTTGTGGGGAGCCTGCCGGACTGCCCCCTGGCAGGCAGGAGGTAAAAAACTAGCGAAATAGTCTTACGTAATAAACGAATGGCGCCTTATGAGACCCGTAGTAATTGACCGAGTTTCGCTTCCACTGGCATCACAGACTGGTCAAAGACTTCTGTCCTGAGACACCGCAGACGATGGGACGAGGAGATTATACGTATTTTTTATAGCTAGGTAGGCAAACTACCCTACCTGATGTAAAGTGGTGTCAAAGTCCAGACGCCACATTAACCATCCTCAACTTGCCGGCCTGTAGAAATGCTTCTTCACACCTCTTTTGTAGGAAGGCTCTCAGATTATACGAAGAAGGGAACAAGAGCGCGGGCAAAGAATTCACTTGCGTATACTACGACAAAGAAATGAGTCACTTTAATTTCCCGAACGCTTTTCATCTGAGCTGGATACGACGAGAGATCTCTTTTTCGAAGTTGGACTTGCCTAACTGGAACTTTTTTCCCAGGTATAAAATTATGCAGTGGTCAACAACTTCGAGTGTAGTGTTCCCAATTTTAACTGGGGTGGCCTAAATGGGCATT